AGCTTTTTAATTTGCTGCAATGCCATTTGACAATTCTTGCTCTTATTTTCTAGGCAAGAAAAAATAATTACCTGTGCTTACAGCTTTAGGATGTTTCCTTATGTTTTCATGTAGTAGCAAAGTTTCAAATCTTACATTAAGATCGTTGACCTTTAGAACTGATTTTTGTACAGTGTGAGAGATAGGGACCTGGTTTCAGTCTTCTTCATGTAGATAACCTTTTTCCCAGCACCATTTGTTGAAGAGGCTGTCTTTCACCAATGTATGTTTTTGGCTCCCTTTTCAAAAGTCAGATGACTACAGCTGTGGGTTTATTTCTGAGTTTTCTTTCCTATTCCTTTGGTCTTTATGTCTGTTTTTATGCCAGCACCATGCTGCTTTTTTTTTTTTCTTTTTCCAACTGTGGCTCTATAATTTGAAATCTGGTAGTTTGATTCCTCTAGCATTGTTTTTGTTTACACAGGATTGATTTGGTTACTCAGATTCTTTGTGTTTCCATATGAATTTTAGGATAGATTTTTTTTTTTTTTTGGAAGCACTGGGGTTTGAACTCAGGTCCTCACCCTTGCTAAGTAGGTGCTCTACCACTCACACCACTCCACCAGCCCTGATTTTTCTATTTATGTGAAGAATGACACTGGGATTTTGATGGGTGTTGCACTGAATCTTTAGATTGCTTTCAGTAGTATAGCCATTCTTATAATATTAATTATTTCTGTGTTCTGTCTTCTTCAACTTCTTTCTTCATGATTTTATAAGTTTTCATTATTGAAGTCTTCCTTCTCTTGCTTTTTTTTTTTTTTCTTTTTTGCAGTACTGGGGCTTGAACACTGGGCCTACACCTTGAGCTACTTCACCAGCCCTTTTTTGTGTTGGATATTTTTGAGATAGGATCTCATGAACTATTTGCCTGAGCTGGCCTTGAACCATGATCCTCCTGATCTCTGTTTCCTGAGTAGCTAGGACTATAAGCATGAGCCACCAGCACCTGGCTTTTCACCTCTTTGGTTAAATTTATTCTTAAGTATATTTTGGAGTTATTGTCAATGGAATTGCTTTCCTGAGTTCTTTCTCAGTCTGTTCATTATTGGTATACAGATGTCACTCAGCCACCATCTTGCCTCCAAGTCTGGATTTACTTTTCATCTCAGGACTTAGTCCTATTTTTAAGGATAGAGATCTTAGAATGCATTTCAGCACTACACTTCTTTATGGCTGGGTTTTATATCCTTTTCCTTATTCCTTTTATTTATCTCCTATGTCAAACAAGCATACACACACACTCACATGCAAAACTCATCCGGGGAGAGAAATGGGGACTAATTAATATTGAATTTATTGATTTAAAAGAGGTTTCAGATTAATTATAATAGTATCTTATGCTCATTGCAAATTTTCCATTTTTTAGGTTTAGTGAGTCCTAATGCAAACATCCTATACCACATCTTCATTTTCTTCTGGTTTTGAAGCTGTTTACTTCATATTTGATTGTGTACTTCAAATGGAAATTGTATTGACATTTGTGTATATTTTACTTTTAAACTGAATTAAAATTACTTGAAGATTTCACTATTTGGAATTTAAATTTGACTTCTTTCCAAATATCCTAAAATCACTTATTGAACTATCAAGAAGGGTTTGATTTAGTCCAGTGAGTATAGTGAAGAGCACGTGAATGAGTTAAAAGAACCAGACTTTGAATGCAGGCAGTCTTTCTCCCAAAACTGTGCTCTGATTATTGCTGCAATGCCTCTTATGAATGACAGTTACATTAAATGTGGTATCAACCTATGTTCTTAAGTTACAGAATTACATAAAATAATAAAGGAGGATGCTTATTACATTCTTCCAAAATTGACTGAAAGTTTGCAAAGCTTTCAAGCATTGTGGGTTTTGTTGTTTGGAAATAGGACTATCCTCAAACTCACAGTCTTCCTGCCTCAGCCTCCTGAGTGCTAGATTACAGATGTGCAGCACCACACCTGGCTTGTGAAGATTTTGAGCATTTTTTTAGAATGGTAATATTACCTTGTCCCACACCTACAATACCATATACTCTCTGTTAGTGACATTATTAAAAGCCTGATTGCATGCTAAATCAACCCCATTACACAGTCATCACTGGAATTCTAGCTCTGAGTAAAGCTCTTTGCCAAACACATCTTTTTCCAGCCCACCCCACATACATGCTGCTCTGATTACTTACAAAATGAGTGCTGCCCATGAACTCTGTGTACAGAAGGGACTAGAGTCACAATAACAAATAAGACATAGTCCCTAAGGAGTTCCTGGTCCAGAAGAGGATGCCAAGGATGGGGCTGTCATCTTGGAAGTCTTCACAGAAGAAAGAAATCTAAGTTGAAATCCAAACACTGAGAGGGAACCTTATCTATTCTGAGGGCAAAGTGCTCATGATACAACTGTCATAATGAGAAAAGATTCAGGTTCTGATGTCTTGTTGGGTAGATGCCTTCTCATACATCTGTGTCAGACCAGAATACTTTCTAAAATGCAAAGGTGATCACATCTCTAACTGTGTAACCGTTCTATGGGACTTTTTTTATAAATTACCAAAATCATTACACTCCTTTGGATGTCTTCTGAAGCTTATATGATGTGATCCAATGCTTAATGTATAATGTGTGAACCATTTTTTTGTTCATTTTTTTTTTTTTTACAAACTCCTGGATGCTAGCAACACTGAGTTCTCTATATATTTCTCTAACACGCCATGTTCTTTTATTGTATATATTTTATGTAATATAATTATTTTTCCAGTGGGAGTATAAATAAAAGCACCTTGAAACAGTTTGACACTGTCCAATAAAATTGAAGATTCACAAATTCTATAACCTAGAAATTCCACTCATAGGTGGATACTGTCAGGAAAGGGAATCTTTTAGGTATTTGCTTTAGGAGGCATGTTCAGAGAAGAAAAATACAGAAAACATTACAATTCCTGGAAGCAGGGAGGGGGAGAGGGGGAGTGGCAAACAATGTATACACATGTGAGTAAATGTAAAATGATAAAAGAAAAAAAAGAAAACATTACCATAGTCACCAGTAGAAAACATGTGCCATTAAGCAACCTTTGGTTCTCTGCTCCAAACTTCCTCTTCATTATCCACTCTTCATAAGCAGATTTTTTTTCTTTGCCAAGTGACATGGCTTCATCAGAGCCTGGATCCTATAGTGTAGGCTGCTGCTATAGTTCCTGGTTTCTACAGTTCATGGTGACCAGCAGAACACATCAGCCAAGAACTTCTCTTGACATTGCCCTTGAGCAGGTTGGATGGAGGGTTTTTAGCAAGATAATTCCCCCAAAAAACTTTTCACAATTGCGTAAGGCAAATTTGTGGGGAATTCTCGATGTCAATTTGCAGCTCATTTTGCTAGTGTAGCAGCACAGTGACTCTCTGCCATTAAGTGAGGACAGTGGGTTGGGGATATCTTTAATGGATGATCTAACATAGCCCTTGGGCTAGTGACCACTTCTTGTATCCACTATTCATGTATAAAATACTCTTTACTTTCACTAGACAGTACTTCACTATTCCAATGCTATTGTAACTAATCATTCTTTATATTCAATTTCCTTCTCCACAATACTGTGTGCTTTCTCTCTCTTGATTGACTTTGACTGCAACTCAATGCTCAGTCAGTGAAATCTGATGAACCACAGTCACAATGACACATAGGTAAATTCACAGTGACACAGAGATGAACCCTCAAATAATTACAAGAATAATGCACATGGTATGATTTTACTTATAAAAGCTCCATATGCATACATAGCCAAAGTATGTAAAGGAAGGGGCTGACAGACTGGCTCAAGTGGTGGAGTGCCTGCCTAGCAAATGTGAGGCCCTGAGTTCAAACCCCAGTACTGCCAAGAAAAAAAAAGATACCCTTTCAAAATATGTAAGGGATGCAGCCATACATGATAAGATTATAAAGAAAAAGAGAAGGAAAGATAAACATGAAATTCAAGAAAGTAATTGTCCCTGGTAGAAAAGGAACAGCTGGTCAGCAGCATGGGTGCAAACTATGGAAAATGTTCCTTTCTTTATTGCCTATTGGGCTTTACAAGTGTTTATTTAATTATATTTCTCACTGTACATTATTTCTTAAATTTAAAAAGTAACTATCATTTATGATAGAGAGTGATGACATCTATTAGAAGTGTAATTAGGATTGGAAATGAGGCCAAGTGGTAGAGTGCCTGCCTAGCAAGTGTGAAGCCCTGAGTTCAAACCCCAGTATTACACACCCAAAAAAAGGACGTGTGATTAGATCAGAATATTATAACAAGCGTTTCAAGAAGTAATCCTCTCAGCCATGGGGGGCCAGGCCCGGCCTAGGCCTCTGTGTGGCGTAGCTTTATGCATTATCCCCAGTGAGCTCCATAACAGACTGGTGCTTTTCTGTGTGTGAAATAACAGGATTCGATCTGGGAATATTGTATAGTATTGTATTGATTTCCTGACAATGACAGATAAGAGTTTTATTATGTTAGACTGTTCTCCTCATCATTAATACTTAGTTCAACTTTTCAACTTTGGATTAACAGTCTACAATTATGGAATTAAAATTGTCCATTCTTAGGGCTGGGATGTAGCTCGGTGGTACAGCGCTTGCCTAGGATGCGTGAGGCCCTGGGTTCGATCCCAGCACCAAAAAAGAAAAGACAAAAAAAAAATTGTCCATTCTTCTTTCTTGGTCCATAGGGAAGAGAAAAAGGTGTGTGTGTGTGTGAGAGAGATAGAGAGTGTGTGTATGTATATGCATATATGTGGAGGAACAAACTGAGATCTGAGGAATCAAGTGACCAAATTATCTGTCTCAATGCACACTGCAAATAAATGAATAATAATGATGATGATGGTACCCAAGGTACCCCTGAAGCATAACATGACCTAGATCACTAACATCCTGTTTTGTATATACATGTGTCCACATACACACATACATGTAATCTCCAGTTTTATTTTTCAGTTCATTAGTGCACCCATTGATAAGCCGTACTACTTCACCACAGGTTCTCTAAGGATCCTCTTAGGCTACTTCGCTCAAAGTCCCTGCTGCAGCCTGCACTGTGAAGGCTGCAATAGAAATCTGTCTCTTCACTTCTGCCCAGGCCTCAGAAGGGTCCGCTTTGCTGGTTATATCAAACAGAGCATCATAAATTCCTGGGAATGACTCCCCTGCATACTTGTTGTGGCTGCTTGGAGCATAGATGACATGTCTGTGGGTAAAACATTTTGCTGTCTGTTAGTTGCACAGATGATATCCAAGAGCAAAACAAGAACATGCTACAATGCTGGATTGCATATTACTAATTTAATGATTTGAATAAGGTACTACTCAGTGAACTTCCAAATTCAATAATCTAGTCCTTAACTCGAAGTGGTTCAGAGCTATAAAAATGACAACAATGATGATGACAGCTGATTACTTAGTATGGATCATGCTGGATAATAAATAACTTACAATGTTTCTAATTATTAAAAATAAACTCTAAAAAGCTAAGATTAGTGTTTCACAGAGGAAGAATCTGAGATTTGAGGGGTTAGGTGATTAAATTATTTGTCTCAATGCACATTGTAAATAAGGGCTAACTTTACTGCACCACACAACCCCTGAAATACAGCACTACTGTGATCACCATATCCTGTTTGTAAACCAACAACCGATTATTGTGGACAATTTTCCTCTTTAAAAATGTCACTCTATGAGTTGGTGGAGTGGCTCAAGTTGTAGAAGTCCTGCCTAGCAAGTACAAGGCCCTGAGTTCAAATTCCAGTACCACATACAAAAAAGTAACACTAATTTGTTAGTATACTTAGCATTAAAAACAACTTTGCAACCATCCACCTGGGCAAAAGACTGTTTCATTGGCAGGACTAATCCTATTGGTCCTGAAAGAGGATGGATTTCAAAGTAAAGAGGAAACGAGCTGGGTGCCTGTGGCTCGCATTTGTAATCCTAGCTACACAAGAGTCAGAGATCAGGAGGATTGTGGTTCAAAGCCAGCCTGGGCAAATAGTTTGCAAGACCCTATCTTGAAAATACCCAACACAAAACAGAGCTGGCAGAGGGGCTCAAAGGTAGAGCGCCTGCCTAGCAAGCAGCCCTAGTGCCACCAAAAACAAGAGGAAAAGAAGCAGAGCAGTAGCAGGCTGCTGTTGGCCACTGTTCAGGTGATGCATTGCCTTGGCCCTCTAATAACTGCAACACAGAAAGATAGAGCCATTCTTGGTTGTTCAGTGATCTCACTCAGTCTACAATCCTTAGAATGGTCAACCTGGTGACCGTTGGTTGGCATTTATCAAATCTAAGAACTCTTGCCAAAACTTAGGGAACAGACTGGGAATGCAACACAGTGATACAGCACTTGCCCAGCAGGCAAAGGCCCTGGGTTCAATCATAAGCAACAAAATTGAAAAATAGGGGAGGAGGGCACCAGTGGCTCACACCTGTAATCCTAGCTACTTAGGAGGCAGAGATCAGGAGGATCATGGTTCAAAGACAGCCTAGGCAAATAGTTCATGAGACTCTATCTTGAAAGTACCCAAATGAAAAAGGGCTGGTGAGTGGCTCAAGGTGTAGGCCCTGAGTTCAAACCCCTATACCACCAAAAAGAATAAATAGGGGAAAAATTTCAAATTTATTATATTATATGTATACATAAACACAAATATATTTAAAATAGGAGAAGAGGTAAAAATACATAACAAAAACACAATTCCATATTTGACTGATGGAATTTGGGGGGATTTTTGTTTTGTGCTTGTGGCTTTCTGTTGTTTTTATTGGCAGTACTGGAGTTTGAACTCAGGGCCTCACACTTGCTAGACAGGTGTTCTACCACTTAAGCCACTTCACCAGCAGCTTGTGGCTTTCTGAATCTTCTAAATTTCTAAAGTAAATATATTCTTCTATAATCAGAAACAAAAACACTAAAAAGAAACATGTAATAATCATATCACATGATATAAAAACATTATCACATATTTATCATTTGCCACATAAATTTCAAAATATTCTACTTGCTTGCAAGGAAATCAAGTATAATGTTTTTCTATGGAGCAAAAGAACATTTTAAAAGTGATATTAGAGTGTGAGTCATATTTTTTTCTTACCTATAGAAAGGCCTGTCTGGTAACCCTAATGGGTCAATGAATGCTCGTTCCAGAAACATCAGTTGATCGTTCATAATTCTCAATAGTATTGGGCTAAACAGGAAATGACTAGTTATTTCTTCATGAAAATGTGTTTAAAATCCAGCAAACTAAAATTCAGAGCAAAATGAAACTCGCTGCCGTACTTTCAAGTCCTATCGCATACAAATGAGGAAGAATAGCACATATACTTATATTTTTAAATCCTATAAAATACTATTTTGCTAAGGCTTATATTAACAAAAGGAAAATAGGAATTCATTAAAGACCTACCTATAATTTAGATTTGAGCTATTATTAACATTTATTTATTTAATATCATGAACTCTTTTTTTGTGATAGTATAAAGGAGATTTAGCTTCATCTGTTAACAGCTCAAATAAGCAAAGGAGATAACTGAATAAAAGATGAATTCAATAAGAGGCTATAGATTTCTGAATCAATTTCCCAAAGCACTGTTACAAATACAAGAATTCTGTGGATATGCACAAATGTATATGTACATACATACACACACCTCTCTCTCTTCCCTTCTTCTCTCCTCCATGTATGTATGTCTCTCTCTCTCTCTCTCTTTCTGTGTGTGTGTGTGTGTGTGTGTGTGTGTGTTATAATCTCGTGGCTACCAGTGGAAGCCCTCAGATGTTGCTTGTATGGAGCAGAGTTCAATTTGAAGTCACACTGGGACGTAAGTGCTCAGAGCAAGACACTTAAGTAAACAGTGTCTGTTTTTTCACTCCTGGAACACACTGGCCTCTCTAGGAAGGACCAGAGGACTATATAGGTCTTGAGGGTGACTACTGTGTGAGCATGAAGGCACCAAAGAGCCATACTCTATGTCCTTTAACAGGTCAAAGCACTGATACAAGAAAAGCAAGACTAAGAACTGTCTCTTTAAATTTTAATGTTAAAGTGAGAAAGTCAATGTCCAGTTTCATTTCCTTACTCAGCACTTACTATGAACAATGCACAGACATTTCAGGACTTGCAAACATCATATTAAAGACTTATTTTGGCGGAGGTCATCATACTTTCTCTAAGTAGTCTTTCCCCCCAACTTGAGACTATTTTCTTAAGAAAAAAATTTCAAGAGTTTGAAATAGTAGGTGAAAATATAGGAACTCTAATGTCTCTTGAAACCTTAGTGATAGGTACTTGTGCTTTCCAAAAAGCTTAGAGTAATTCATCATATGCTTTCAAAACCATGGACCATTTGTATCTTTGTACCACCCATAGCTGTGCAAAGCTAAATTTTAAACTGCTATTATGGAAACAAAATAATGTGATTTTCATTTGTATTTTTGAATTATTAGTGAACTAGATTATCTCACCATAGTTTCTTTGTATGCTATATCTTTGTTTTGAAGATTTTGTCTTGTCCATTAACAATATTTTCAACTTTGTTCTTTGGGACTCTTGTTAATTTTCAAATCATAGTTTTATAATGTATATTTTACCATCTTTCTGTATTTGCTGGAAAAGAAGCTGCCAATTCTTTTCTCTTTGAGTGCCTATTTCATATTTTGACCCATTAAATGTTCTCAAATCTGGTTTCATCATAATTTTCTCATTGCTTCTAAAATGGGCATCTCCCTTTCAAGAAATTTCCTTTCTTTTCCTTCCTTCCTTCCTTCCTTCCTCCTTCCCTCCCTCCCTCCTTCCTTTCTTCCCTCCTTCCTTCCTTCCTTATTTCCTGGCTTTTGTTTGGTTGAGTTTGGTTTTTGTCCTTTTTGATAGTACTAGGGTTTGAACTAGGGCCTCATGCTTGCTAGGCTAGACTTTCCCACTTGAGCCACTCATCTAGCCTTTCTGGCTTCACTTATTTTTCAGGTAGAAGCTCATGTTTTTGCCCAGGACCAGCGGTGACCAGGATCTTCTTACGTAAGCCTTCCATATAGCCATACCCAGGTTATTTGTTGAGATGGGGTCTTGTTAACTTTTTGCCTGGGTTGGCCTCCAACTGCAAACTTCCTGATCTCCCCACCCACCTCCCCAGCAGCTGGGTACTCCACACTTGACCAAGAAATTTCAATTTTTAATAAATAGTTCTACACTTGTTATTAATGTTTGCATTACTTTTTAATCAGTTGCTAAAAGGGCTTATACAACAATACTGTTGAATTAACATTTCCCCTGTAATTTTTGCAGCATTATAAATTCTTTCTTAAGTAGCACTGAGCTTATTTTTGGGTCATCTCTTCTTATCTTTTTATGTATTCCTGTATCACTTCCAAGGATTTGATATGTGGGTCATGATATTATGTTTAGTACACAATATATGATTACCCTTAAAAACCTACTATTTAAAGCAAATCTCACACTTGTAAGCCCAGTTTCTCAAGAGGCCAAGATCAGGAAGACCACGGTTTGAGGCAAGCTCAGATAAAAAGTTAGTAAGATCCTATCTCAATCAACAAGCTCAGTGTGGTGATGTACACCTGTGATTCCAGCTATGCTAGAGGCCTAGGTAGGAGACTGCAGTCAGAGGCCAGCCCCAGGCAAAAATGCAAGACTCTACCTGAAAAATAACTAAAGCAAAAACAAAAGGGGTGGAGATGTGGCTCAAGTGGTACAGTGCCTGCCTCCCAAGTCAAAGGACCTAAGCTCAAACACCAATACCACCAAAAATAAAATCTGTCTATACAGAAATCAAAATATATTTTACCTCATAAATATGTGCAATGTGTATTTTGCCTCATTAATGTGTACAATGTGTCAGTTTTTACTATGTGTCAAATTTTTTCTTTAAACTTTTTTCTTAAGGAAAAAAAGTATTTTGCCTTCCACCTTAAAATTTTATTCAAATTATGTTTCTATATTTGTGCAAAACATAACGTTTTACATAATATTTAACAGTTCCAAAAATGGCTTTGCAGTACTTCTTTCTATGAATAAATTGAATTTTGGCAGCTAGAGATGGAAATGAGAACCTCTAAGTGGAAGTAATGAGCTCAGGAAGTGCACTGCACTCTGGGAATGCAGTGAGAAGCAGGGTGCGGAGGGGCCTTCAGTGCCAGGTGAGTGTGTGTGACTCCTCAGCTGGCAGCCAGGAAGCCTTGCATCCCTGGGTAGCACAGATCCCACTCAAAACATCAGGAAGGGGGAGTGTTTGAGAGACATGCCAGCTCTGAGTAAGACACATCAGAGTGGAGAGACAGAAAACAGAAAAACAAAAAAGCCAAAGGTATTTCAGCAATAAAAATGTTACTTAGTGCTTCCTTTATGTTTTAAATACATAAAAAAATGTAGAACATACTTGCTTTTGTCCAAGTCTTGAAGTCTCTTGCTAAACTTCGACGCAATTTCTGTAAAATTCTTTACTGCAGAAAACAGTGAATCTGAAATGAAAACTGAAATCAGCAAAAGCTTTAAGCTTTAAGGCATATGGTACGTGTCTGTAATCCCAGCACTCCAGAGGCTGAGGTAGGAGGATCATTTGAGCTCAAGAGTTTGATACCAGTCTGTGCAACATATCCAGATCCATCTCAATAAAATGATCAAATAAGCAAACATAAAGATCATAATTTCTATGATACTGTTCTGTAGTTAAAGAAATGGAAACAATATAGAACGCCATCTTTTTGTGTTTTACAAGGTGTTATAATTTGTGCATTGTAAGATGTGAGCATTCATGAAAGAGAAAATACATTTACAGAAGACATAAACAGAACTTGATCGAATAGAATGGCAGAAATAACGAAAGACCTAAAATAAGTCACTGCACAGACATTAATGGACACACACAAATAATGAATTTTGAAAGAATACAATGTGACATACCAAATGACACACTGTATGTTTTCATCTCTTGCGGATGCCTCATTGAAATGTTGTAGATTTTGTCAGCATATATTTTCAAAACAGCAGCATAATCTTGACAGTCAAAAGGAAGCACAGTGGAACTGGCCAGCTCAAACACCATTCCTCCCCGGACCTGTGCCACTGTGAGGTGATTTTTAAATGTTGGATCGTAAAATTTTTCCACTAACTCGTATGTTTCGTAGACACTATGATACAGTGGATAGCTGCTGAATTTATTCATTTCCTATGGGGGAAATCAAAGTATATTAGTATAAGAAAGCTCATAAAAGGCATAGCATTGTATTTACTATTAATATTTACAAAAATGAGTTATGAATAAAGTTATAAGGTACTACTGATGTACCTCAAAAGCTACTTAGGAAAGGGCTAATATTAATAGTACTTACACTCCAGGCTTGTACATCAATTTAAATATGTGTATATGATATAAACAAAATTATAAAAACATTGTTTGGAGAGACCTAATAAGCTTGACTTTAATAATATAAGAGACCTGGCAGAGTGACACAGTGGCAGTGTGCTGCCCAGCAAACGTGAGGCCCTCAGCTCATACCCAGCATTACAAAAAAGACATATTCTCAGAGGAAACAGCAACAATTTTTTTAAAAAAAGAATATGAGAGATGTGGAGATGTTGGGAGTCCAAAAAATAGGAACATTGCATCTGATAAAATGATAAAAATAATGTAAGAAGACAGAGAATCATTTGAGCAAGTAAATAAGCGTTACACAATATTAGATGGCCACTATGTCAAACTGTTTCATCACTGAAATCCTGTGGGGAAATGGTACTCTGGTAAGCTATGTGCTAACTGTGAGCGATGAGGGCAGTGGTGAACCCAAAACCTCACTAAGGAGAGAGAAGGGAGGCTCAGACAAGAACAAGCAAAAGCAACAGCAAGCATAAAAGCCAAGAAGGAAGGACTTTTCAAGCTGTGAATTGCTGACTTGCACCTTTTGATCATTTTTCAATGTGCTTAATTTTTGTTATTGATATAGAAGAACATTTCATCTATGGTGTGTTGAGGAGACTGAGACTATAATTAGACTGAAAGAGTTTCAAACCAAGCTTCAGAACTCATTACAGGAAGTTTTGGGTGTCACTTGTCCTTTCTTTGCTATAGTTTCTCATAAGGAAAATGCAGATAATATTAGTATCTATTCTCCCCATCACAGCCATATAACCCTACCCAACTTCCTACCCCAATGGAAGTGGACCAAAGAGTTCCTGTCTGGGAAGAACAGCTACTCCAACTAAAAAGACACTCAGACACTTAATGTTACCCAGCTGTCTTGGGAGATTTGAGATTAACAGGAATTTGGAGTTGAGCTCAATCTCGTTCCTCTACTGTAACATCCCTATCTGCAATAGTCTTGAGTAAAGTCTCCCTTAAATCATAACAAGAGTCAGAACATCTTTAACACAAAACCGAAAAATGAAGGAGTTGCACATAAGCTATTACTATTTAGAAACCTGGAAGTAGGTATCAGAAAAACAATAAAAACCTGGAAGACTATTCATTTGATGAATAGAAATTAGGGGAGGCGTGAGTATGGAAATGAGATAAGAAAACACTGTTTGGTTATAAACTGTTATGTAACTACTTGAGATTTTATAAACTATATAGCTGATGAAAAACTGAAAATACTGTCTTCAACAACAACAAAAGGAACAAAGAGAACTCTTACCTGTTCACTGTGTATTATGTTATTTGTTGTTCAAATGACTTGCTATCTATTTAATGTTTGGAACCATAATAAAGAGTTAAAATTCCAAATATTTGCAGGTCTTGGTTTGGATTGTGAGTAATAATGCAGAGAGAACCATCAAAGACAGTTCCTATAATTCTTACTTAAGTGACTGAGTGAATGTAGGGCCACCAAATAAAACAGGAAATGTGCTTAAAGGAGAACCCAGAAATTCAAGTTTGCAAACAGGAGTATTAGTGTCAAGTGGCACTTGGTCACAAGGCTCAGGACACCATAGCCACGAGCTATTCACATGGGAGTCGCACCATCAGCCTCTGAGGTATCACCCCCCTGTTGCTTGAGCTACTTTTTGAAGTCAAAATGAGTTGTTTGGGTAAAACATATGCATAATCTTAAAATTTTTATTACAATAGACTTACCCAATTTTTAGTATACCGTGCTCTGCCTGAGGCAATGCCAAGTCTTTGGAAGAACACCTCAAAATCATTGCCAGACCCCAACTTGCTAATCCTTTTATGATAAAATAACAGAGTTATTTCAGATTAGAGACCAATTAAGCTAATCTCCATCCTACTATTATAAATATGGCAGCTTAGATATGAAGCAACAATGAGAGGAACTTTAATTCTAATCACAAAGTACTCATTTCTATTGGACCATTTCATAAGTCACATTTGTTCAGAGACTCCCAAAGTTGAGAAATATTTTCCTTCAGATTAATTCATTCATCTTTTTATCTATATTTGTTGTATATGATAAAGTGAAAGAAACAACCATTTTTTCAGATAATTCAGATGTGAATTCTTCCCTTATTATTCAGATTGCTGCTATCTACATTCACAAATTGCAGAGATATGTATTTACCTTTCCCTGCTTGCAAAGATACAACCAATGCTGAAGTGATACTTATCTTTTGATTAGAGAAACCAAAACATTTGTTAACTATATGGTGTTCAGAAAAAAGAGTAATTCTAGAGTGACATTGTGACAGAAATATGAGGAATCCCTTTCTACCATCGTCTCCATTCTAACCTTCCTCAAATGTACCATATGCAAGTATTATCACTTTTTGATACCTACAGATTTAACTTCAAAATACAGCAATATTTTGTTTGTGATCCTAAGCATTGATTTTCCTTAATCAGTTTTTAGAGCATTTTGAAAGTTATTTTTTGATTAATGATTGAAAGAAAATCTCCCTTTATTTCCAGACAGTCCCACACAATCAGAAGGGGCAGGAGGGTTATGGTGTCTGTTTACCTGGGCAAGCCACTGAACTCTGGTGAAGGGCTCTTTTCACTCCAGCTCTCATAAAGAGATTTGCCTTCAAAGCCTTCATCAGGGCTTCGCAGCTACATAAATTAAAAGTAAGGTAGGAGAACACTCATAAATCAGATGCACGATACTGAAACGTCCATTAACTAGAGAGTGAATAGCAAAACCAGAGACGCAATCTCTACATCAGCAGTCATTAGGAATTCTGGGGTTGGTGGAGTGGCTCTGTGGAGAGCTTGCCTAGCATTCTGTCGGCCTTGGGTTCCATCTCCAGCATGGGGGGAAAAGCAGAATTACAATAATGAATTTCTGACCATAAGGAAAAATGCTGAAGTTGTTATACATAGGTGCAGTTAAATTATTTATAATATGCAGAAGGTTCATAGAAAAGAAAACTGTACCAAATTATTTCCAAGTCATTGCCTTTAGAAGAATGGTCATGTTAGGTGATTTTGTGATTATTTTTGTCTGTTTTCCTAAACTGAAGGTGACTACTTTGAAATTATATATTTCTCCTCCTCTAATAAAAAAACAAAATAAAATGAAGCAAACTGAATTAGGGAAAGTATTTCTTTTAATATTGCTACTTGCCAGTAAGACTGTCAGTATTTAAATAATGCATAATATAGTTCAATGTAATTAATCTTATTTTATTAATTGATCATTGCTCTTAAGGCTCAGTGTTTAACACTGGGCTTTAAACTCATTTTCTGGTTTTATGGATGAGAAAACTAAGGAGTAAAATATGACTTATAATTGAATCCTAGACTCAGAATATTACAGTTTGTAATGAAAACATCGAGAAAACTAAACTTTACTGTGCCATAGTTATTTACAGATAATTCAACAATATATAGTATAAAATATTTTTATTTCCTGTTTAGTAAAAGTCAAACCTACTATTTTTCAACAAATCAACTTAAAAGTTTATTGACCACTTCTAGTGTTAGAGACCAATAAGACACAGCATGCTCTCTGAGAGGAGCTGTATGCAAAAATGTGCTGTGTGCTACAATACATTTACCTCGAAGTTTTATGACACACAAATTAAGTTTGCACAGCATGAAGAGAGAATCAGAAGTTAGAGCACCATCCTAACTTGTGAAATATGAATAAAGAAGCAAAACTAGAGGACCAGGCACAGTGGCTCATACCTATAATCCCCCCTTCTTGAGAGGTGGAAATTGGGAGGATCACCATTCAAGAGTAGCCTGGAAAAAAGTTAGTGAGACCCAATCTCAACAAATAAACTGGGCATGGTGAGGCACATCTCAAATCTCAGAGGCCACAGGTAGGAGGAACACAATCTGAGGCCAGCCCCAAACAAAATGATAATTTTGTATTCATGAATGAAAATAGAATAATGAAACCTATTGAAATAGTTCTAAGAAGGGGGGGGGATTTGTGGAGGAGAGAGAACTATGGAAGGGTGAATCTAAGATACATTATAAGCATATATGTAAATATCACAATGTATCCACCACCACCCCCTCCCCCTACAACTATTATACTCTAAGAAATTGTTTTAAAAAGATACAACCTTCTCATCAGCTTAAAATAATAGTAATAATAATACTGAATTAAAACAGAAAAGGCTGGGGCATGGCTCAATTAACAGAGTGTCTGCCTAACGAGCTCAAGGTCTTCTGTGCTTTAACGTAATAAGAAACATAATTTGTAGAACATAGATTTTTTTAAATGATATGTAATTATTTTTACCTCTTTTGTTAGATTATATACTAAGCTGTACATCAGTGGTGTACAATCAACCCTTAGAGTGTAGTTTCCTGAAAGATAAGGAAAGAATATTATTATTTATTTCATTTTGTTATTCTTTTATTCAAAGACTATTGCTAACTCTCTAGATGGAATGATCCTTTAAAACTTACATTTAATTAAAACTCCAAAAGCCTCTCATCTTACTATAAAATCCAGCATCTTCCTCGTGGCCTCCAGCACCACTTATGAAAGACCCCAGGTCTTCTCTCCAGATTGTGTGTCCCACTGTGCCCAGGGATATACTCCCTTGAGGTCTTGGGGTCTTCACACACAGTGCTCCTCAGCCAGCCCAGGGCTCCACATTGTGTCCGAATGAGTCACTTGCCCTCTGAACTAACATTATGTTTTCCAGGAGATGCCCCCTGGCCACTCTACCTAAAGCAGTACCCCAGCTCTCCTCCACATCCTAGCTCCTTTCTTGGGTCCTATGTCGGGTCTGTTTTTCTCCATATTACTCATCTACCCCACATAATGAGTCCTTCTTGTTATCACCCTCTCACTGCACTGCAAGCTTTAGGGAGCACTGCCTTATCCCCAGTGTTCAGAACAGAGTGGACATTAACGTCACCTGGTAAATATCGACTGTGACGATTAGTTTGTGAGCTGCTGCTCTCTAGCTGGTTCTGGACAGAGAGCAGAGGAGATAGATGAGGCCTCACTCCTTGGGAGCTCGAGGCTGTGGGTGCAGGGTGCAGGGAAGCAGCCAGGAGAGGTGTCTGGGGAAACCCTGGGAGCAGAGGGAGGGGTGGCTGACTCCAGAGGGGACTCTAGAGGAGGGGCAGTTAAGAAACTTCCACCAGGGAGCAACTCAGGAACTGAATTTTCTAGAATCAGAAGAAGACAGCTGAAATGGCACACCCAACTAAGTGTACAGTCTGTACAAAAATGCCCAGAAATCTAAAAACAAAGGATAAACTACAAGGATGGTGAATATTATGTATCCCAAACCTTAAGATCCATGTCTTGGAATAGCTAAAGTTGAGGTTTTAAAAATAGTGACAATGCAGTAAAGTTGCTGGTGGAACTAGGAAGCAGAGGCGGGAGGAGCAAGAGTTCTGGGCCAGCTGGCACTACATAGCGAGATCCTGTCTTAAAAGAAAAAAAATATTCGCAGGCCAGGTTTGGTGGCACATGTCTGCAATTTCAGCTTCAAGGGAGGCAAAAGATAGGAGAATCTCTGTTAGAGGCAAAAATCAACACCCTACCCAAAAATAACTAAAGCAAAAAAGTTCTGGAGGTGTTGCTCAGGCAGTAGCATATCTGCCTAGCAAGCTCCAAACCGTGAGTTTACCATCAAAAAAAAACTCCAAAAATTCATCTAGAATAATATCTACAAATAAGCAATGCAATTTTAAAACAAATAGCCATGTAATTTATATTATCTTATAAGAATGTAAACAGGGAGGGGGGTACTTTGGCAACATTTATTTCAATTTTGTTGCATATATCCAGGACCAAACAGTTACACTTGTAGGTCTGTACCTTTCCTGTCCTTACATAGAAAAAGACATTCAATTAAAGGATGTTTGCTACAGAAAACTGCAACAACCTGGCCATCAGCTAGAATACAGAATTGTTCTATTCCATGCATTGTAGAAGTTCTTTTGTTATTGTTATTGTGGTTTTGTTTGCTTTGTTTTGTTTTTTAAACGAAGTAGATCGGTGTGTACTGACCATAGGTAAGTGTAGAATGCATTTCCAAATGAACAAGGCAGGTTGTAGAACCTTTAGCAGGATCATGGTAGCAGAAACGAGCATGAAGTAATAGGCAAACAAGGTAGTGGTGAGACAGATAAAGTTGGAGCAAACTGTTTTGAGTGGATGCCCAAAGCGTCACTAGCTTCTCTGAGTCTCAGTTTCTCCTTTTATACAACAGGGATAATAAAAGCATTTACAGTCCAGGGCAATTGTATCTAATCTAACTTTACATATAAAGCAATTAAGAGAGTGCCTGCTCCACTACAGATTATTTAAATATCAACATAATAAAAATTTTGGTGAGCTATAGATCCTTTAGATTAAACTTATTCCATACTTAAGAATGACTTGTATATGGAGTTTTGCTTTGTTTGTAAATTCTTTGTTTTAACATAAGAATTCCAAGAATATGTGATTTATTGTATTTGAGAAATGAATATTTAATTAAAATTTTAATGTGAAATAAGTGTCCCAATCTTGAGGTACCTTGTGTGCCCTTTGTTCTTAATCCTAAAAATTATGAAGACACAATAAAACTATTCCAGGAAATGACATAATCAGATAAACCCAGAGATTTTTAGAAGTCATGAAAAATCAGTTGGGTGCAGTGAGTCATGGTTATAATCTTAGCTACTTGGGATGTAGAGGTCAGGGGAATTAGTGGTTTGAGGCCAGCACAGGCAAAAAGTTATTAAGACCCTCTGTCAGCCAGTGGCTGGCTGGGTGTGTCTGTCATCCCAATTGTGTAGGAAGCACAACAAAAATCAATATGGTCTGGAATGGTGGCTCAAGAGGCAGAGCACCTGCCTAGAAAGTGTGAGGCCCTGAGTTAAACCTACCCAAAAAAAAATCCCAAAAGACATGAAAAATCAAATCTTAAAAGACTAGCCATACATAAAAAGAACATTATGTCTCCCAATTTGGGGACTGTGTGTTTGGAGTATTTATTTTGTGGGGCATACGTGTTTCATTTAATCATACATCTCATGAATGAGTAATGACTGTACTTGTAATTAACATTTTTGGACATTTACTCTACACAAGCACAGGTCTGGGAGCTTTGCAAATATGAACTCCTTTTCTTGATAAGGACATTTGAGATAGTAACTACTTAGAGGTGAGAAAATTCAGCTCCACAAAGTAATACCTGAAGTCACACAGGTGGAGGTGGCAAGGCCAGAAATAAACACAGACCATCATCCACCCACCTGAGGAGGAGAGAGACCTGACACGCCTGTATGAGCTCACTTTCAGGACATATGGACAGAAGAAAATGTAAATTCCAACATGACTCCATCAAGGCTCAGTGTTCCCATTCTTGACATGGCTACTTTACATTTTTAAGTTACACTAAGCCAGCCACCGGTGGCTCACACCTATAATTCTACAGAAGGCAGAGATCAGGAGGATAGTGCTTCAAAGTCAGTCTGGGCAAATAGTTCACTTAGCCCCTATCTCAAAAAAAAAAAAAATCACAATAAAGGACTGGTGGTGTGGTTCAAGGTGTAGGCCCCGAGTTCAAACCCCAGTACTGAAAAAAAAGTAAAAACGAATGAGCTCTAAACAGCAACTGAAGAGCAACCAAGCACCTAGCACGGCAGGTTACGCTGTGAGGAGCATGTGCGCAAGGATGAGAAAGATTCGTGGGTTTGAGTGCAGTGACAGTGAACTATCTCATTTTCATGAAAATCAACCCAAGGTGACCATCCGTTCCACCCTTTGCTTATTAAAAGCACATCAGTCCTCAAGGCTGTCTCAAATGTCTACTCTTTTTCTTACGCCTGGCCTGAAGTTGCTGTTACTCTCCTCTGAACAACCAGAGAAGTTTGATTAAATTCCTCTTAAAGTGCCTGCATATGCTATAATCTGAGATGGATCTGTGCTGTCATCTATACTGAGCCATAAACTCTCAGTTATAGACTCTTCCTTCTCACCTTGGAGTCCACTGAGTTCCTAGAAAAGTACATTGCACAGAGAGGTACTCAGCACATACTTGTTGAATTAAAGAAAAATGTAAAAATGCAAATATTGGGTGAAAGAGTCAAATCTTAGAAAGCAGTATTCTTCCAAAATTTGTATGCATGGTCATGTGATGAGAGTTAAATCTCAACATCATGCACTGCATTCTAAATCACAAAATTGTGTGACTTCATGACGTACTCATTAACAGGTGTTCACTAAATTCCTGCCATAGTTAAGATACTCTGGCAGATGAAGCAAAGCAAAGAACGCTGGCTTCCTCAATAAGCACGCTACAGTAGAAAGCAGATGAAAACATTTAAAAAACGAAATCTCTCAACCAGCGCTCAGGCCCTGCTCCAGTCAAAGGCAACAGCACACTCCCAAACCTCGTGCAAATGGCTGCTGACTCGTTGGGGCACGATTTATGAACTAAATTGCTGCACAATCATCTGTTCTTATGAGGCCCACAATATTTACCTTCGACAGAAGAGTCGGCATTAATGTAGGCCACACCACGTGCTTGAAGGAGTCTGGAATTCTCCTGTAACGACCACAAAAAAGACAGAACTATAAGCACATAGTCATAACCCGCCTCCCTGAATGTTGGTGAATGTTCCTGAATGTAGCCGGCTGAATGAAGCTGACCCAGGCTAACCACAAACTTGGCATGTAAGATTCTTGAAAGAGAATTTGTTTGAAAAAATTTCAGTAAAGGTACTAGGGAGAAACAATGAGCAAAGCTTTTTCAAACTAGCAGTTAGGAACAAACTTATGTCCAAATACTTGTGGTAAATGGGAAAGAGAAATTTACATTTCTTAACCAAAACATACCTTGTCCTTCAAAAACTTCTCTCAGCAAAAATGAGCTGCCTCTGAGACTTTTCATTGGAAATTTTCCCACAAACATCTCATTATTTAAATAGATAACCTTTCCTGATTCACAGGGAATGAGCTATTTTAAATCTATGGGTCAAAAATTTTTTAAATTAAGTCAGGTGTTGGTGGCTCAGGCCTGTTATCCTAGCTACTCAGGAGGCAGAGAACAGGAGGATCACGGTTCGAAGCCAGCTGGGATAAATAGGTCGCAAGACTTATCTCTAAAATATCTAATACAAAAAGGAGCTGGTGGAGTGGATCAAGTGGTGGAGCTCGTCCCTTGCAAGCATGAGGCCCTGAGTTCAAACCCCAGTACTGACAAAAAGGAAAATAAAGAAAAGTAATTTTATGAAATTAAATCATGTTAGGGACATGAAGTCAGGTGCTCATGTAGGATGGCACCACCTGCTGGTAACAATTGATAATTGCACATTTTTCGAATGAGGACAAAAAGCAAAGTGGTTTCTTTTTAGGTATCAATGAAGTCTCCAAAACACGCAGTTTCCAAGATGAAGTTGGAAAAATATATGCAATTCTGGGTGATAAAAATAATTTGAGCTGGACGTGCATCATGCACCTGTAATCCTAGCACTCAGGAGGCTGAAGCAAGAGGATCAAAAGTTCAAGGTCAACCTGGGCCACAAGGTAAGACCCTGTCTCTAAAAAAGTGATGGTGATGATTATGACGATGATGTGCGGATAGCATTGGGGGCTGTGTTGGAAGATGTAATAGAAACATGAAAGAAACCAAGCAGGTTCTGATGTTTGGTTTTCAATGTGTCTATTTATTTACTATGTATCCATTCAACTTAATTAATTTTACATTAAGTGTTTCTAAAAAGTCTAAACAAAACCAAATTCTTTATGTGAGATAAGGTTTTTTCCATCATTGAGTTTTGAACAAGGACATACAGCTTCAGATGGTCTTGAAGAAACTTTGAGCATTTTCTCATTGAAGTCACTTGCTATTTTTCATGTGTGGCAATTAAATCCTAACTGTTCTGTTATTATGAAATTTTAACTGTAGAAAATATCAACTAACCTCTGCCCACTCAGTAGAACCAAGAAGACCAAATTCTTCTGCATCCCAACTTGCAAACAAAATCGTTCTTCTAGGCCTCCATCCTAAAACACACGTGTACAATATATAAATGCTGGAAGAGTGCACAATGAAACCAAGACACTGTGAAGCCCAAATGGGCAGAAAAACAAAAACACAAAACCAACTGCTTGTTTTGATTAGGAAAGGACGACTATGGTCAGAATCTACTTACACAATTTCCATTTGTTTTAAAAGTAGTTTAACAAAATAAAATACCACGGGGACATAATAAAAAACTTGCTGGGCTGGAGGTGGCTCAAGTGGTAAAGAGGTAGAGCAAGGCCCTGAGTTCAAACCCCAGTACTGACCCCCCCTTAAAAAATCCTTCCAGAAGGAAAATAAAAGAATCATAGTCAAAAAGAATGAGAAATATGATTATTTTTTAAAAATCCCTGGGCACTGTGGCTCACACCTGCAATCTTAGGAGGCTGAGATCAGGAAAACCTCGTAATTCAGTAGGGAGGTCATAGGGCTTTGGAGGCTATAAACACTGGTCTTGGAATTAAAGGAAGATCTTGTTTCAAACCCTGGTTCTCTCACTTTACTAGCCTGGTGACCCAGGAAAACTTACTTCAACTGACCAAGTCTTTAAGTGCTTCACTTTTATACCGTGAGTAAGGAAGGAGACACCACGTGACGATTGGGAGAATTAAATGAAATGCTTATGAAGTTCTTAGTAACTGTTCCAAAATTTTTAAGTTGACATTAGGTTAGCAACTATTTCATGTGTGTTTATTAGGAATGTTTATCCTATAGCTATTGAATCCAGTGTTTGATTTTTTTCAAGTCTGTTAATATCATTCAAATCACCTACTCATTATTGCTCCTTATCATTGCATTCTTTTAGTATCTTCTACAATCGCCAGTGAATTTGCTAACCCTTGGTTAACTTTTCCATAAAGATGGACAGAAATAACTAGGTAAGTTTCTCCTGGTTTCTGTAAGTTCAAACTAAGTCACACATGTGAAAACACCTTCTCTGAGAAAAAAATGTTATACAAACCAAACACAATTTCACTATTGTTTTTTATTGCTGCTCAAAATATGCAGTTTACATCTTACAGACCCCAAATACCTAGTGGCAGAATCGGTAAAGAGAATGAACTTTCTGCTCTCCATGTGGAATGAGTATTTTAAAAAGCAACCACTTGAACTAAGTTTTTTATTTTCATCTTCATGTGAAGATTTGTAAATGACCAAATTGATGATGCAGTATAGCTGGGAATGTGAGGATGATGACACCAGACTTTGGGCAGAATCCCAGGAGGCAGCAAGACCAGACTAGTGGTACCTTTTCTGGTAGATCAAATTCCAAGACTCGTCAGTTAGTTAGCACAGGTGGCCTGACTGTGAGGCTAGAGGAGCCCAGGAACTGCTGTGTACAGAGTTCTGACTAGACAGCTTTGCTTTGTGACCTATTCTGTGTTCCCTCCTGTAGTCATTTTATTGGCTGCGAACAGCAACTGAGAACAGTGCAATTTCTTTATTTTAGATTATTTAATGCACAAATGCCAATAATATAAATGTTCTATAAGTAAATGAAGAATAAACAATATAATTAACCAACATTAGTGCTTGTCTTGGTATTATTACCAATCCATAGTCGCTGTTGAGGAGATGTTCACTTACTTGTGGTGTTGAGGATCGAACCCAGGGCAAGAATTCCACCACTGAGCTGCTTCCCCAGCCCCTAAGTTGGTACTTTCACACTCACTTACACAAGTCTAAACCGAGATTCAGAGAAGCTGGTTATCACATTTTGTTTATATTACCTTCCTTTACCAGTGTTCCAAAGCTCCTCACAATTTCATGGACAACGGCTGCCCCACTCTGAGGGTCAATGCCACCAAACACCCACGAGTCTCGGTGACCTCCAAGAATGACATATCTGTCTAGAAAGAAACAGTGCGAAGTTGTTATTCAGGTTAATCAAAGATCAAAATGCAAATAATTCAACAGGATCTAAACACAGAGCACTCAAAGAAAAATAGCAAGTTTCCTGAAGGCTCGTGCAGATGTGTTGTTTTGTTCAGATTTCAATATCTATTTCCTCTATCTGATGAAAGAATGAATCTGATAAAGGAAACATGCACTTCAATGTATTATGCAATTATAAGCACATAAGTAATTTTGGGAAAGGATGAAATTATTCTTATCCACCTACCTCTTTACGTAACTCTTTATATAACTCTCTCTTACCACTTTGTTTCCAATATTTTCAGAGTAAGAGAACATAGTTCTCTACTTCCTACTCTTATTCAATTTTCAAGACACAGCTCAAAAACTTTCTCTATAAACTTGTTCTGTCTTCTATAGGAAGAAAGAATTGCTCTGTCAACTGAAGGCAATCTTTTCATGTTTGGCCAGGCATTTATTACACTTAGATGGATGAATCCCCTTTAAACTGTGAACTCTTATCTCCTCTTTTTTTGTCCTTCCATGCTTAATGAAAATAGATTCCAATAAATAGTGTTATGCTTTGTTTAATACTCATTATAAGCATTTCAATATTCTTGTTCCTTAAATGAAAGCATATGCTTATAAGAAACATATGTGATTTGACTGTAACTGTTTTGGTAAAAAAAATAATAATAATAATACATAGCCAATGAGATCCTATGGCACAAAACCATAATATAATAAGACTATCTATAAAATAACAATTAGCAGGCCATCTGAAATCCCATAGAAATCATGTGTCCATATATTCTCAAAGACTTTAGCTGTGTGAAATAAAGCTATATAAAGAATTCATTGATGAGAGGCTACCTTAGTTCTCTGCGTGCTAGCTTTTGTACAGATGTCTAGAGTCATCATGAAGATACTTCATTATGCAAAACATAGTAAGTAAACCCAGAAAACACCTCAAAACTCTCTCTCCCTGTCCATCTTCCCTTGACCCACTAACTGAAACATGGTTTATCACTCACCTTGGTCATCCGCCCAACCCAGCACAAGCATTCACTTTTCTCTTCTTCCCAATATATATGACACCACAATCCTACCTCACACTCATAGGTTTTGTGTTTCCATGAGTGTCATTGGGGCAGAAGTGCATTTCTCTGTTCACGTTGCACTTCCGGAGCTCAGAGAGTACCTGGCATACAAGATTTCCTTAACCAGTGTTTGCTGAGCCCATGATTCATTTACCTGGTTCCACTGCTCCTCTGAGGGTACCAATCACATTGTAAATTCTTGTCACTTTACTGTTGGAATGGATATGCATCTTGACTTTTCTAATTCCAAGAAGATAAAAGACACATTCTGAAAAATACTGGTTAACAGATACAACATCTACAATTTTTAAATATTCAATCATCTTTTTCTAGTTTTACACAATCACATCGGCCTATTTTAACGATATAAAAGTTTTGCCCTCTTCTACCTCTGGTTTTGTCTCCCACTTGGATGACGTAGAGTCTACTTTTCTTTGTCATCCTCTAGAATTATATTTTCAGCAAAATCTGCATAAAATAATTAAAATAGCCTCTTAACTGTGTAGAAAAGTTTCCAGTAAAGCCAGGTCCCACATTGTAGGGCACTTTGAGACTTCCTTTCCAGCTGCTATCTGGTGGTGCTGAGCCGCCCATGTGTCTGTTGGACATAAAAATGTTGTTAGCTGAAGGAAAACTTAGAAGGAATAAGTTCAAATGTCAATGAATCTACTTTCGTGGGCATCTTCTTATTATGGCCTCTGTGAGTGGGGGAGAATACAAAGTGCTCTGCATATAGTATGCCACTTAATCCTTACTGCAGCTCTTACCACATAGGTTGTCTTTTTTTTTTTTCATTATTTAGAGAATACTTTATTAGTTTCTATAATCAAACCCACGTAGATAAGACCTTACATATTTAATACAGTGTGTTACCCCTGTACAAATGGAAAAAAAAATTAAGTTTAACGTTTCTAGACCAATATGGCTATTAATTTCTGTACAATGCCAACTCAACACAGTAAACTGGGATACTTTTTTCCAAAGTTGACAGCACAGCTAAAGTTTCCAAAAATTCAAATTATATATATATGTATATATATATATTTATATTTATATAAAAAGACCAATAATAGCAGTATGTTATGCATCAATAGCAGCAACAGCTTTTCCAGGTTCTGCAGTCATCTGAACAAAATTATACAGACATCTAGCACACTCCATTAAAACAACAAAAAAACCAAACCAAAACAAAACAACAACAACAAAAAAAGTGAAAAAGTAAAAAAAACAAAACCCCAGAAAACAGCAATTTTCTGTTACTGTTGTGGTACCTGGCACCATTTTTTTTATTAGCTTCTCAATCATCATTTAGAAAGAAAACATTAAAGAGTAACATCATTAAACACAGCTCTGATAAAGCACAGTCACTACTGCGTATCATAAAGCAGGTGCAAGATACTTTACATTCACAGAGGTTTGATACAGTACTGTCCTGCATCTATAATACTAGAGGATACAATTAAAAAGGCATTATTTGAGACTTGATTCTACTTTTCCAGCAGAGGGCCCAAAGGATGGTATGACACAGCTCTTTAAAGAAATGCACTTTCTTAGACAGTATTTCCTTTCATTGGTGGCAGTTCTAAGTACTCTCTTAATGAACATCAGCTAAAAAACCGTTTAAAAAAAAAAAAGCCAGGGGAGAGAGGGTAACCCCAACCCCCCAACCACTGGAGTCATACAAAGATGACCAAATGAAGGCAAGCAAGACTCAACCTAACTAGGACTTTACCAAATCTGTCCTGTTTGAATAGCAAGAACTCCACGGACGGATGCTAAGCAGCACTTTACAGATGAGGAACTTAAGGCTAAGAATGACTAGTTCATAAGTTCAGAGTCATGCTGGGAAGAGGTGTAGCTGAGATTTGAGATTCAATCTACTGTCAAGAATTCAAATTCGGTGTTACTACTCTCCAGTAGTAAATTGTGTTAAAAATGCTTTCCAGTGCCTGCCCTGAAGGAAGAGTTGGAGGTCTAATGCCTTGGAATTTTCCATTACCCTGTTTCTCACTGGTAAACACATACCCATGTAAATAGTCATCATTTACAAAGTTACTTTCCCACACATCTACTAGGAATAGAAGAACAAAGGAAAGGATTTCACTGCAAACAGCAGCCCTAAAAGCTTCATGCTTAAAAAAAAAACTGAAAAGGTGAGAAAAATCAGATGGACCAGTCACGACATGGCACTAGCCACCAGGAATCTTTCAGCAGGAGAATGAGAAAGATTGCATGGTAAGATGTAAGAAAGGTGGAGTTCTTACATGGCTTCACCATGTCTTCCTCGACTGCATCGAGCATGGATTGACTTATTCTTGGTTTGGGCATTAAAACCAAACACACCTTCAGCAGACAGACAGACAGACAGACAGATAGATAGGTAGATAGCTCGACCAATTGATCAATAGATCGATCGATAGATGAATGGATGAATGTGCTTTCAGAAAAACTTAGGAAACTGAGTCCCATATGATTAATTTCTACCTGAATCAAAACTAAATTTTGATGACTATCTAACCGCAAGGCAGAAAATAGTCTTGTTCTGTCTTGACGGGATATTTTGTTTCTGTTAAATGCAGTTTTGTTTAAACCAGGCCTGAAGAAATACATGTTGTCATCTGAAATTACACCAAGTTGTTGAAATATGAAATGTGGAATGGAACACTTCAATCTGTCTCATAGGGTTTTCTCTATCGTCACAAACCTGTGCTCCCTGTGAATGACAGAAGCATACTCTGAAAGTCTCCTGCTTTCCTCTGTGTCTGTTCGTGGGTGCTTGCTACCTGCCTACTTACTTGAAAAATGTGTATACTTCAACTCAACCTAGAATCTACTACACATGAAATAATAAACCAATCATTAAGATTATTGCCTCATAGAAAAATAATTAGAAATTTTATTGTTTTAAAATGCTCTACCAGAGAATAAACATGTCCTCTCTTTTCCCTATCTCACTTGGGAGTTTGGCTAATGAATATAATTTCAATTAATATACTATAAAACTTATTTTGGGGAAGGAGTAGTGCTGGAGTTTGAACTCAGGGCCATGTACTTGCTAGGCAAAACTCTACAACTTGAGCCACTCCTCCAACCCTTATTTACTTACACTAAATTTTCACATGAAAATTGTCTAGTAATTCAAAGACGGATTTCTATATTGGCAGGAATGGTAATCAAAGATGCCAGCTGTGGTAGGTCACACCTATAATCACAGCAGTCAGAAGGTTGAGGAAGGAGGATCACGAATGTGAGGTCAGCCTGGGCTACATAGTGAAACACTGTCAGAAAAAAACAAACAAACAAAGTAATAAAGAAGTAAAGAAACAAAAAGGAAGCATAATCTATAGTTAAATGAGCAGAGTGTTAAGCATACAAAAAGGTGGAGAAGGCAAATGAAGAACATTGCAGTGACACAGTAAGAACTAAAACCACCTGCTGCTTTAGGAGTAGAGGTGAGTAAAAGGGAAAAGTTTTACTGTAAATCTTTCCGAATTTTAATTGTGTAAGTGTATTTCCTTTTCAAAATAAAAATATGAAAGCAAAGTAAGGCGAATCCATCAGAAAGGAAGACGGTCAACTATATTTCACACATAACAAGGTGATAAGTAGATCCTGTCCTCAAAACTCAAAAAACTTAACTCTGGCACTGCCTGGTCCCACAGCCACAGGTGAACAGGTGGCTGGAGCAAAGCAGAGCGTTATGTGTGGGAATTCATACACTGATGAAGCAAGTGTCCCACACATACGGAGAACAGAGGCTCCCCCATTAAATGTCACTGAGATAGAAAGTAGGTCCTTCTCTTACTCTGTCAATGAAAATAAACTCCAGGAAAAGTTAAAAGTTGAATATTTAAATGTCAAACGATAAAAGTATGATCTAGTTGATAACTGTAAGAACTTGTGTAAATGCCACAAAGTCCCCCACCCAGGAAAACAATAAAGGAAAAAAACACAGCATAAATAACTATAAAAAAAAAAAACCTCTGAAAGATCCTGATAGGATGTAGTTGTTCAATGAACATGTATAAATAGAATTGAATTTACGGTCTGCATGCTCTCACATACCCATTTTGATTTGACTTTTCAGCAAAGATCTACTGTCTACTGTGTGAAATGGGCTGTGTTCTCAACAAGGAGCACTAACATATACAAGACATGATCTCTCCACAGCTCATAAGCCACTCAGATGAAGACACGTATAAAACCAACTGTAAGACAACATGACACACAGCACTTTGGGTTCCACAGATATGTACAAAAGAGCACTTAAATCAGCTTGCGGGACTGGAAACTTTTTTACTTTTTTGTTGCATATGTTAAATGTACAAAATAGTGGGTTTCATTATGATAATATTCACCTCTATTGGCTTCCCTTGTCTTCCCCCCATCACTGGCCCCTTTCCTCTTCCCAAATAGTCCCCCTTTTACTTCTATCTTTTTTAAAAATCTGGATTCCACATATGAGAGAAAATACACAATATCTGTCTTTCTGTGTCTGGCTTGTTTTGCTTAACATGATGATCTCCAGTTCCATTCATTTTCCTGCAAACACACAGTTTTGTTCTTTTTAAGGCTAAATAGTAGTCTATTGTGCATATATTCTACATTTTCTTTACCCATTCATCTACTGGTGGGCAGTTAGGCAGATTCCATTGTTGTAAATAATGTCACAATAAATACAGGTGTGCAGGCATATCTACTGTATGCTGCCCTTGATTCTTTTAGGTATATGCCCAGGAGAAGGCATAGCAGGGCACATGATAGTTTATATTTAGACTTTTAGTAACCTCCATACTTACTCTCCCTTTTCCCTTTCGACATCCCTAACAGTCTCTCTTTCAGGTACTTTTGTTTCTCCCCCTGAAATTCCATAGATGAGAGAAAACATTTGATATTTGTCTTTCTGTGTCTGACTGATTTTAGTTAATCTCATGATCTCTGGTTTCATCCTATTTTCCTAAAAACTACATAATTTCATTATTCTTTATGGCTGGATAACCCATTCATTTGTTAATAGGCACCTAGGCTGATTCCACACCTTGACTATTGTGAGTAGTGTTGCAATAAACATGGGTTTACAGAGAAGCAGGTACTGCTGTTACATCTGACTTTGCTACTTTGGGTACGTACCCAGAAGATGTCAGCTGGGTCATACAGTAGCTCTATTTTTGGTTTTTTGAGGGATTTCCACACTGATTGCACTAATTTGCATTCCCACCAACTGTGGGAATCTGCGCCCTCACCAGAATTTGTCATTGTTTGTTTTCTTTATGATAACCTTTCTGACTGGGGTGAGATAGACTCTCACTACAGTTTTGATTTTCATTTTGCTGATGGCTAAAAATGTTGAACATTTTTTTCATATATTCATTGGCCATCAAATTAGGTCTTCCTTGTTTGAAAGTTGTCTATTCAACTCATATATCCATTTATTGATTGTATTACTTGTTCTTTTTGGCATTGATACTTTCTGTTTCTTTATAATATTTTGGATATTAATTCACCCTCTCCCCATGTGTTTCCTAACTGATCATCCTAAATGGCAAGTGACTTTTGTTCCCTTTTGGCTCTCATCCCAGTTTCCCACTGTATGGAGCTCTCAGTACTTCTGATTCCAAGACTTTCACCCATAGCCAGACTGGCTTTCAAGGCCAGCACTCTCTGAATCTGGCTCTCTGGGCCTGAGCAGATGTTCTCTGGATCTGGCTCTCTAAGTCCATGCTCTCTGGATCTGGGTCTCTGGGCTGACACTCTGGATCTGGCTCTCTAGATCTGTGCTCTCTGGATCAGTGTACGGCTTTTGCTGCAGATTCTCAGAAGCAGGAGTCTTTGATGTCCAAAGCAGTGAGCACACATAAGTCATTCTTAAGGTACTTCCAACACTGTGATGCAATTGTGTACTAGGAAGAAGAGAGAACTTTCCCTGTGCCTTGTTCTCTGTGATTCAGGTCCCCTGATTGTTCAGCCACACTCCTGTGCGGTGCTAAGGCCTATGCTAATGGCACTGAGTATCTGAGTATCTTACTCCTGCTTTCTTTCACCTCTATCCTGCCCTCTGCTGGTTGTCACAGAGTTCTTGTTACTAGGGTCACCTTTCTCACCCTCTGTTCCAGTTTTTCAAGGCTCTGCCTCACCATAACTAAACTTCAGTGCCTTCCCACCATCACCCACCTGGAGAGGTAGCTACTCTTAAGCTGTTTTCATTCTGTTGCTCTTTATTAGTCAGACTTTTTGTCTCTGTAACAAATACCTGAGAGAAAGAACTTAAAAGAATGAAAATTTTATTTTGGCTTGCTCCATTACTATGGGTTTGTGGTGAGGCAGAACACCATGGAGGCAAGGGCAGGTGGGGGAGGAACATTGCTCGGTTCATGGTGGCCAAGAAGCAAAGAACGAGAATGCCTGACTTCTTCCCTCTCCCCCCACCCCTTTTGTTCATTCCAGTTCCCCAATCTACTGGATGGTGCCACCTCATTCAGGAAGGGTCTTCCCCTCTTACTCAGTCATTTGTGGAAACATCCTCACAGACACACCCAGAGGTGTGCCTTACTAATCTCCTAGGTGTCTCCTAATCCAATCAAGCTGACAATGGAAATCAACCATCACAACCCCAAAGAAGCTAGCAATCACTGGTGCTTCTAATCTGTCATCTTAGAGTCTCTCTTATTAACATAATACTTATTAATATGTTTAGACAAATTCCTATCCCCTGGTGCACTCAGAATTGTACCTGATCCTGAATCTTAACCCATGTGGCAAAGATAAGATCCCCCCAAAAGGAGTAGGGTACTTATAGTCTGCTCTTAAATTGGGTCCATACCTCCAACCATCTAGGAAACAGCCTCCTCACCTGTAAAGATGAGGGTCTTGCTCTAGGTAACAAAATGCTTTCTAATAGACACTGGAATAAAGTGATTAAGAATCTCTGAACTCAAAGAAGAGGCACATCCTGCTCACATGCTTAGTCTAGCAACTCCACTTTGAGAAGAGAAGAAACAGTGTCCTCGCCCCTCCTGAGAGATAGTGGAGGAAGAGGGGCGTGCTGCAGGCAGAAGATAGGGCAACAAAGGGGAAGGGTTCTAACGCCAAGTTCATTAGTATCAAATCTGGAAACGTTTCAATGATGAATGCAAGAATAATGTCTTTTCTGGGCTCCATATTCAAAGTGTGTCATTTTATGAGTTTCTAGAATTGCTGTTCTCCTCTTTGTTATTAACTAGAAAATGTTTTTAACACTGTGAAAACTATAAATTTGGGGTGAATCTGTCAACAAGGAAAAGAGGGAAGAGGACTAGAGATAAAAACAAAATGGAAGTAGCTCTGCTGTTTGTTAATTTCAGTCCTCCAAGAGGTATCAAATAAGAGAAATAGGTGAGTAAGAGATTTATTAAGGGAAATGAGTAGGGAGCTAGGGAAGGCTGAGAAAGCCATCAGACAGTAATACAGGTCTGATACAGAGTAAAGGAGCAAGGGAAGAAAGAAAGATGGAGTAGAAGGTGCAGTGTCTATTTGAACAAGGTTATCAAGAGATCCTTGAGGCAAAGTCTCACCTCTGGGGATTCCTGTGCCTGCCAGTACAAGCCCATCTTAGCATCCTACCACACTGAATCACGCCTAGCAACATCTGAGGGAAGCAAGGTGATGACAGAAACAGGGGAATGGGCTGGAAGGCAGTGGCTAGAGCAATTAGTCAAAGATGCTATGTGCAATTGGAGATCGGAAAGCTCCTTTTCAGTATGATACCCATATGTTAAGTAAATTCCAGAACAGAAGCACTGTTCTATAAAATGATAAAATCACATGCTCCAACTACCTCAGAGAATACCACTACCAAAAAATGAACATGAAAGCATAACATTTGGGAATTACCATTGATGAGAATTACTAAATTGTTTCTGGAAACTTACTCTAAGAGTTTCTGTGCATCATAGTATCCAATTGGATGGACAGGAATACTTGGGAGACCGACAGCCTCTGCAATTCCACGCCGATAAGCATATTCTGAGGGAGAAATGAACATGCTTCCAATGAAAACTCAGTCACTTTGAGGCAGTTCTCTGTAAATCACACTAAATACTTCATTTCGTGTTACATCTATGAGATTTGATCAAATAAAAATAATAATAATTCCAAATATTAGCATGAATGTGGAGCAACTGATACTCTCATACATTGCTTTTGAGAGTGTAAAATTCTACAATGGCTGAGGGTAAGTATCTAAAAAAGCAATATTAAACAGAAATGTACACTATGGCAAAACAATTCTACTCCTATGGATTTGCTCAAGAAAGATGAAAACACGCAGGCAAAAAGATTTGTTGGGAATTGTTGAAAGCAGCCATATTTATTCCATCCATCAGGTTTCTAAAAACAAGAGAATAAATAAATAATCCTTCTCTGGTCCCACAGTAGAACAGATGGTGCTCAGCGATCGAAAGGAACAAACCAATAATGTGTGCGGAAACACAGAAACTCTCAAATCATGACACTGAGTGAGAGAAGCAAGGCACAAAAGTGTATCTACTGTCCAATTCCACTCAAATGAAGTACAAAGTCAGGCAAACCAATGTATGATGCCAGATATCAAAACATGATGATAGGGGGTGCAGTGAAAGTTGACCAGAAAGGGACATGAGAGAACTTTCTGGAGTGATAGAAATGTCTTTGTATTTTATTTTGGATGACAGGAATGTATGCAGTTTTCAAAGTTTATTGAACGGAGCTCAAGATCTATGCATTTGATTGCCTGTCACCTTTACAATCAGAATGTATATTCTGATAGTTCCTCAGGTTTAAGAGAAATTAGAACTTTTATTTCCATCTTTTTCCCCAAGTTTTTAAGTTACCTAATAAGAAGCATAAGCATTTGCAAATAGCTTTATTCTTTTTATGGGTAAAATGACATAATGATATGCTGTGTGAGACTTTTTCTGAAAACCTTTAGAGTAATAAAAAAAGGAAAATGAACAGATGAAACAAGATTGGCAAGATGCCAATAACTATCTATGCTTTTGTAAAGTGCACAAAAGGGAATTCAATAAATATTAATCTCATAATGAAAATACGATTTTCTCCTAAAATTTCATCATTTAAATGTTAAGACCCTTAACAGAAATAGTTCAGTTACTCTGTCATGTTATTTTCACAATTTCAGCTTATATAACCAACAGAACTTAGAAGATGAGACATTGTTTAAAACCTTGGGTGCAAAAAGGTAGACTAAGTAAAGTTCAGGCAGATTCATATGTTTTTTTATTGGAGTAATATGTATTATTGAGAAAAGGAAAACATATGGCAATGTACTTTGCTCTAAGAAGGATTTACAAAAGTTTAAAAACCCTGAGCTTATTAGAGAAATCTATAATTTGACAGAAAAAACAAGATAAATATGTAAATGCCACAGATACTTTGGCAAACTCTTTCATTCAATTTTCACAAATTCAGTTACACTACACAAAGTAAACTGCCACAGATTTTTGTACACATCATCAGATGACTGAGTGCATCCAAAATAACTTAGCTGCTTTTGTTAATGTTTTACAAGGTAGTATTTCAGGGTAAGACAAGTATGTGGACTCTGAAGCCAGATTGCCTGAATCTGAATCTCAACTCCCCACTTCATGGTGTGGAGAACTTGGGCAGACAGTTTACTTCTCCTTGTCTCTTTTTCCTCCCCTGTCAAATAGAGATAACAAAATACTCTCTTGTTATGGGGTTGTTGATGCATGCAGAGGCTGGCATTTAGGAAACATTCCTTGATAGTTAATATTTAGCAACAAAGTAAAAAAAAAAGTGTCTTTTCTGGACTCTATATTCTAAATGTGCTGTCCTTCTCTTCCTTATCAACTAGAAATTTTTCAAAACCCTCAAAAATGTAAGGTTGGGGTGAATTTACTTGTCAACGAAACTGACCTAACCTAAGATCATTTGACAATAAAATCTGGCTTGAGCATACCTGAGTCCACTTAGATTCTTGGTATCCTATTCAAACATGTTGCTGCGAAAACATTTATATGTTTATTTCCTGTATTCTGCCCCTGCCACCTAGGTAAGTGTTGTACATTAATAGTATATGCACCATATCACATTTTAAATATCTGGAAAAAATCTGAATTCCAAACCTATCAGCTCAAGAGTTCCAAATTAGGAACGAGGGACCTAACCAACAATTTTCAGAATTTGAAACTATTTTATTCCCGGATATAAAGAGGAAGATATTTTTGGTCATTATTTCAAAGGAAATTCTTTAATAATATCACTCGAAAATGTTACATTTCCTGTCATGATTGAGGTCTAATCGCTTACCATTTGCTGGGTAGCCTGGTGTGAGAGGGTCCCCTGCACCATTAAGATTCAAGGTATTTCCACGCTGGACACCACCTCCAGGAAGATTCCAGCCATCTGGGTAGGGCTCCACCCCAGGAGCAAAGTAGTCAGCAGGGTCTGAATACAGAATGACTCCCTTGGCCCCCGCCAGCTGAGCATTTTTAACCTACAAAACAGTGTCCATTTTTCCTTATTTTAACATAGTTGCCTCAGATTTGGTAATATCAAATTTCAAAATTACACTTCAATGTGTAGCTGAACTTTATTTCCCCCCTTTTGTTGTTAGGCTTACAACAAAGGACATATCACAGAGAATTCCCTTGTTTTTTTACTACTTGAAGTTCTAAAAATGGATCGGCCCTGGAAGTAGCAGATTTGGAACATCCTCATGCTCATGGTAACAAGCCCTTTCTGTTTCCTCTGCCAATCTAGGAGCACAGTAAGCAAGTGCACTCCCCAGATCAGACTACTGTTTGTTCTGTGGCTCAAAGGCAGTATTTTTGAAATTTAATTTCTTGCAAAACAGAAAAAATATATATATCAACAAGTCAATGAAAGTAATTTTTAAAACTGCTATGTGAAAATAAATTGTTTTCTCTCGTTATTTATAACAATTTTATTAACATTTAATTTAATAACTATTTTTGGAGATAATATTTAAAACACAAAAGTCCTGAAAGTTAACAACAAATCCAGTGCGTGTTTCTTTGTAGGACACCCAGGATTATCTGCAGGTACAAGGATCTGCTCTGCTCACTGGCAGGATCCAGTGACCCAATGCAAAACTACTCTCAATAAGACGGTGAGTGTGTCCTCCCTGTAAGGTGGGCATTTACAGAATACAGGAGAGTCACCAGCCTCAGAAAGTTTTAAGGGGATGGTTCTGCACAGATGCAGAGCTATATTGTATTACAACTCTTGGTCCTGGGGGGGAAAGGAAAGAGAAGATCTTTACCTTATTTCCTCTGAACACTTTCCCATATCTGGCAATCACAATTTTCCCAGAGCAATTGATTTTCATGTCCCGCTCCAGTGTGAAGAAGTCTTCGGTCCGTGCATAGTTAACATACACTAGCTCCCCCTGTTCAGACCAGGAATAGTTTAGTAAAATCCACAACATGAAAAGGTCTCTCTGCATGAGCAATGTTTGGTGTCTTTGAAAAGCAAGATGTAAAAAGGACAGAAAAGTATAAGCCTTAATAAGAGATTCAAGGGAGAAGTGAATTTAAACTGACAAAGGATTTAGCTAGTTAAAGACATATGCATTAAAAATGTTTGCTTTATCTGTCTTTTATTAGATAGCTATAAAGATATAGTAGCACTCCCTCAGGAAAACACATAGATACACATACCCTGCATGCAGTGGAGGGGTCCAGGTCCCTAGGCGAAAGAGCCTTTGATGAGAGTTTTCACACAGAGGAGCATAATGGGTTTACAACCACTAGTCAGGAAAAGTGACCTATTCATGGTCTACTTTCAATCATTAGTGTGATCATGTGCGAGTATTTTAAGGTCTCTGAATCTCAACGTTCTCATTTGTGAAATGACTGCTGGGTTAGAGCAGTGATCCTCCAATAGTTTTTTCCTCTAGTCCCTAAACTAATTTTGAAAAGCAGTGTACCTATTCACTTACTTTACGTGGACATATAAAATTTTTTATCATACTTTTATGAATCTGCAAGGAATGTAATTTCTAGCATACTACTAACATTAACACTTTAGAGCAATTTATGTAACTTTTTATATGTATCCAAAGGAATTTAAATACTATCTATACTTACTATTATTCAACATCAGCCATTTAAAAATATATGTGAATACACTCTTCTCTAGAGAAATTCTAAAGGGCTATTCCAGACTCTGTATATCGTCATCAGGGCAGTTCTTAAGCTAGGACCGCAGGGTGACTGCTCCTCCTGACTACTCTAGCTTCCTTTCCCTCTCTGTCACAGACATTGAGTTCAGGAGAACACACTTAAATTATCATTTAGCACACTAGACTCCACTTCTAATTCCATTGCCTTGAATCTAGGTATACTTGAAAGTTTTTTATTATCACTGTCAAATTCCCTTAAGTAAGTAGTAAATCATATAAATCAACTATTTAAACATGTATTTCCTGTGACAGGCTGTGTGTTAAGAAAATTCTCCAGGAGTAAGTTATAATTATTAGTAGTATCAAAATGAGTCTAACATCATTGCTAATTTTTACACATATACATAAACATAAATTTTAATTGATTTAGAAATGCATCTCTTAATGCAATGAACAGAATGGTAAAGCACTATCTCATAAAATCAATGGAAAAATTAGTTATTGCTACAGTGAGACAGGGATCAGTAACAGTTCTAAGTCACATTTTTTGGTTTTACCAATATGTTCTGAGACACATTGGATGGGAATTAAAAAGTTGTTAGGGCTGGGGAATGGCTCAAGTAGTAGAGCGCCTGCCTAGCAAGTGTGAGGCCTTGAGTTCAAATCCCAGTACTGCCCAAAAAAAAAAAAGTTTTGTTATTGAGCTGGTGGAGTGGCTCAAGTGGTAGAGCACCTGCCTAGCAAGTGTAAGGCCCTGAGTTCAAACTCCTGTACTGCAACTAAATGAATAAATAAATAAAAAGTAAACAGAAAAAAAATTTTGTTATGGAGTTGTCACTACATCATATAAATGCTACCCAAATTACAACTCCAAAATTACACACATGGATTATCATCTAAGTTAGTTTTCATATCAGCTGAAAATGATTTTTACAACTCAGAGCAATGCTTCATATGTGTTTTAGGACGGGTGGGATGTGCCTTTCATTTGTGAAATAGGAGAAAAAATTATTTTAATTAGTGAGGTGGGCACTGAGAGCAGTAGGACCTCAGCACATGCTAGGTCTCAATTCCACAAAAGATTTCCATAAAGCAATTTCATGCTTGCACTTGGAAAGTCTTCACGCACCCTGTTCCAAACAATTTCCAATATGCTATGATTTTATTTTGGTTATTGTCCTTTTTTGGCCACAATTCTCATAGCACGTACACAACAAATTTATATCCAAAAAAAAAATCAGAGTTGTTTCCAAATTAATGCTAAGATTCATTTGACAAATTTGTTCAAGACCTATTATTATGGCCAGGGTTCTAGTTGATACAACAAATCCCAGTCCTTGAAGAACTTAGGTTAATGTGGTTGGAAGCAAGAGAATAAGATAATAAACAATAAGTTAAATATAAGCTTATTAAATATAAGCATATTAAATATATTCATATTAAAAGATGGTAAGTGTTATAGATAACTAAAAAAAAGTTTAGAGTATGCCAACAGTAAACTAATACTTGAGCAGGTACAATTTTAAATAAAATGGGGAGCGTCTAATTAATAAGGTGACATTTGGGTTTTTATTCTGTGAAAGGAGCACTTTGGGGTACTGTAGTTCTTCCTAAGACCGAGGTTATATTAATACACTGTTAATGATGGTAACACTATTAATGATAGCACTGTATGTCTGATTTATAATTGCTGGCCCTCTCGACAGTACACTTTCAATTATAACTATGGATACAGTTAACCAACTTGATTTCAGAAAAAAATAGTGAAAGTATCCTATTTGAAAGTTTCCCTTAGTATCACCAATTTTGGGGAGAACATTTCTTTGAATGGTACTAAATGGTAGCTATCTTTTGATAAACTGGTAATCTTCACAAAAAATTCTGATAGACAAGGAACTGAATAAGACACTAGCTTAAAACTGGCATTAAACTTTTCAAATGAAAAGAAGTGACAGATATGGCCTCTCTGCACTTCTCAGATGCGAATTGTTGGTTAGAAAACAACTTTGTTTTCAGACAATGACCTTCTTGTATAACACACACTATGCCATTGTCATATGACGTGAACAAATACAATCTTGTGTTCTTGGCTTGCGATTTCCCCTCCTTTCCTTCCCTTGTTCACAGAGATGGAATTGGGAGGGAAGACAGTGGTGGCAATCCTTGAACACGCAGAAGCAACATCACCTTGGATTCTATTAAAAACACCCACAAACTCTGAGGTTTACTCCAGACCCACTGAAACTCAGAGGGTGGGACCAGAATCTGTATTTTACAAACCCTCCCAATTTTATTATGACACACTAAAGTTTGAGACTATATTTTATGGACATTATCAAATTGCAAATTTCAAATGCCTAAAGCAGAACCTAGTATTCTGCCCTCCATAAGATTCAAAGACAGAGTCAAAGATTACTGAGAGTGAAATATTTTGTACACACATACAAATGTACACAACTTAACAGACAGTTAACACAGTACAAGCTGGGATACAGGCAACTCAGCAAAGCAAGTTCATCTGATATTTTAAAATAAACAGCAATGCCACACAGAATACCTTGTTCCTTCTATCCTGCTATTAATCTGGAGGAATTTAACATACTTGAAAGAAAAATAAGTGATAATGATCTCTATGCAGTAAACCTACAAACTGATCATCATGTTTTTACGTTTCTTTGTTTTTGGTGGCACTGGGAATTGAGCCCAGAACCTCATGCTACCACTTGAGCTATGCCCCAGGCCTTTTGTTTTTTATTTTGTTTCTGAGATAGGAGCTGACTAAATTGCCCAGCTGGTCTCAGACTTACAATCTTCCTGCCAACCTCCTGAGTAGCTGGGATTGCATACACATGCACCACCAGGCTTGGCTGTAATGGATTTCTTTACACATAATCTTTTCCTGCTTAATAATGTTCTTCAATTGTTTCATACTCATCTAATCAGTTAATAAGACTTTTAAAGTGTATTTTATAGGAATTTTAATCCATTTGTTAAATGTTCTGCTATCATATATTATTTGTCCATATATATTTGACAGAGGTATGGTAATATTAATCTTATTTCTAAAATGAAGTTTTACTAACTATTGCTTTCATATATCTTATATATCTGGTTATATGTACCTGGTTATGTAGACATATCACTGCAAATAATGGAGGGAATTAATTTTAAAAGACCCAAAGCACAAAAACACATGGAGAACAATTTGACAATATCAGAATTAAGGATTTCTTTTCAATAAAAGGCCACATAGACAGAAGGAACAAAGAGTTAAAAACTAGAAGATATTTTCAACATCTAAAAACAATATGGACAAACAACTAAAATATTTAAGAAATGCATACAACTTAACAAGAAAAAATGTGAGAGCCAGGTGCAAGTAGCTCACACCTGTAATCCTAGCTACTCAGGAGGCAGAGATCAGGAAGACTGTGGGTTGAAACCAGCCAAGGCAAATAGTTCACGAGACCTTATCTCAAAAAAAAAAAAAACCCTTCAGCTGGTAGAGTGGCTCAAGCTGTAAGCCCTGAGTTCAAGCCCCAGTACACACACATTAAAAAAAAAAAAAAGGAAAAAAGAAAGAAAGAAGAGAACAAAGGTCAGAAATTCAGCAGGGAAAGAGACTGTATCATTTCACAAAACAAAAACCCAGAGTAGTTAATAAATGTGTGTTTAGAGATGAGTGGCTTCATTTGTCATCAGTGAAATGTGAATCAAAACAAATTAAAGCAATAAGGAAATAACAAGATGAGCGAAGTTACAGTTACGTAATTTGAAGGGCTCAAAGAAATCTGAGGAAAAGTGAACACTCACTGCCAGTGCCAGACTCTGGGAAATGACGTGTTCCCTGGAACACAGCACCCATACCTGGTTTACTGTGCTTGGAGAATCCCTCACAGGCCTGTGTCTGGACACGTGCGAGCACATCCACTGTGACAGTGCTCAGGATGATGGCAGTTTAGGGACAAATCAGGTGTTTGCCACTATGGTGAGTTGCTCACACTATGTGCCTGAGATGAAGTGACCTGCAGCCGGGGAAACCGGTGAACAACCCTGACAGTATACGCGTGGAGGAAGATTTAGAAGACTGTTGACTAAAAATACTAAGACATCAAGAATGATCTAAAGTACAATGTTACTTATGTAATTAAAGTCATCAAACACAAAAACAAAGCCTTGTAGTTTCGAGAACACACACATTCCTAAGGGCACACGTTAGAGTAGATGTGTGGCTATAGGAAATGCAGAAGAGGAAAGGGACCAAGAATAAGAATGAGACATGAAGTGAAAGCAAAATAAATTAAGTAAGGGACCTCACCTGGATGCATGAAACTAGTGAGCCTTAACCGGAGGAATAAGGCTGAGTGGCCTTCAAAGGGTCAGGGGTGTGTAGCTCAGTGGTAGAGCACCTGCCTAGCACACATAAGGCCCCAGGTTCAATCCCCAGCATTGAATAAAAAACTCTTATTAAAAAAAAGAAAGAAAGAAAAGAAAAACACACACACAAAAAAATTCTTGCTGGTTTGTGCCTCTAGTAGTGGTACACCTACCTGTAAGTACAAAGCCCTGAATTCAAACCCCATACCACAAAAAAAGCTAAAATATACTCAGTCTCTTCTTTTCCAACTGTTAAATCTCCTATGATCAATTATGAAATAATTACAATGATTGTAAGCATCTGTATTATGTGCCAGTTTTAAATATAGTGCTAACTGTTCATTTGAAATTTGTTTCCTATAGCCAATAGAAATAGTCTTTGTTATAGTCTGTGAGATTTTTTTAATTAGAAATAAGTTAACAAATTAAGTTCATTTGAAAACTGTAGAAATAATTTTAACTGAATAAAAATATGGCATTACCTGACATTAAGTCACTCTTATTTTTTGTTTGGTTTATTGGTTCTATTTTTTGTTTTTGGCCTTAATCTTCCGGTTTCAAGTGATCCTCCTACCTCAGCCTCCTGAGTGCTGGAATTACAGTCATGCATCACTATTCTTGGTTAATTGAAACCCTTTGAAAACTAAGCAGTGTTACATAATTGTAGCAAAATATATACAATAGTCACAGAAAAGATGTTACTCGGCAATAAAATGTAAGGAACTACTGATAAATGCTCAAACGTGAACCTCACTGATTCAATGTTTATTGGTTGAAGCCAGACACACACACAAAAAATACATGCCATACAAGTCCATTTACATGAATTTCTAAAATGGGCAAAATTAATGTGTGGCAGTATTATGATTTAAATATTAAGTGCCCCCCCCCCGAAAAAAAGCTCATGTGTTGAAGTCTTGGTTCCCAATGCGATGATCAGAGGTAGCCTTTGGGAAGTGATTGGATCTTGCGGCAACTGGACTAATCAATAGATTAATTCATTGATGGATTCAGAATTGAATGAACTGTTGATAGGTGACAGAAACTGTAGAAGGTGGGCCTGATTGGAGGAAATAGGTAGGTGGGGGCAGGCTCTTGGAGGGAACATCACCTCCGAAGCATCTCTCTCTCTCTCTCTCTCTCTCTCTCTCTCTCTCTCTCTCTGCTTTCTGACACCATGGGGTGATCAGCTTTACTCCCCAGGCCCTTCTGCTATTTATTTCTGCCTTTCTGTAGACCCAAAGTGATAGGGCGTAGCAACTGTGGATTGAACCTCTGAAACCAGAAGCCAAAGTAGATCTTTCCTCCCTTAAGCAAGTTATCTCAGGAACATTGCACAGCAATGAAAAATTAACACAGGCATCCAAAAACTCAGAAGAATGATTGCCTCAAGGGAATGTGTAATTGATTAAGAAGGGGCACAAGGGAACTTTCTGAAGTAATGTAACATTCTGTACATTGATGGGTTTGCAATATACTGTTGGGTGTGTTGTACAGTCAATAAATGTGTAGACTTGTACATTAAAAACACCTTGAACAAGAAAATTTAATCGATACTTGGTTTTGTTTTGTTTTTTTTAACTAAGAAACCTTAGTTTCTTAAAGATGGAAAAAGGGTAAATTTGAATTATACCAAAAATTCTCTTAGTATCCTTTAATTGTTGCCTGCATGCATGAGGGAAGGAGGGCCTCTGTCATTTTTATTTTATTTTACTGTGTTGCATTTTTACCTCTGGCATCCCTTGTGGAGAGAAGGCACTGAAAGGTGGCACAACGTCAGAAACATTTTCATACCCTGGAGGAGAGGGTTCATATAACGATGTGTTGAAGATCTAGAGAAACAAATATAATAATCAAAATAAATCTGTTAAAGTTTGATTACTACAACCAAGCAAGAAAAATGCATACTATCTCTCCTATCAGTAGAGGGTTAATTAATCCTTTAGCATTTGGATAATGTCAGACAGATGCCCACCACTCCCAGGAGCTATGAGGAATGCTTTGATGAATAAATTCAGGCCCTGTTCTAAAAATCCCTTTAGGTAGACAAAGCTAAACAAGCAAACAAATAAGAGCCTCCAATTGGAAATTAACTAAGTACTGCAGACAGGTCCTCTGCAGAAACAGAACGAGAGGCTCAGAGAGGACAGCAAGGTGATCTTCCAAGAGAAGGGAACAGCTATATCATGAAGAAAGGAAGAATTAGCAATATATGTTTTTCTGCTTTAAACTTTTCATTTTTGTTTTTCTGGGTTTTTAATATTTAATTTGGCAACAGACTTTTTTCAAAAGTGACATATATCCCTGTGTGATAAAAACAAAAGCTTAAATATATAGTTGCTTCATAGAAGTTTAGAAGGAAAGTAGATTCACAAGGTTTCTGAGAGAACCTGTAAGCATCAGTGTTCATTGTAGGGAAAAAGGGCTTTTTTTCCATAAATAAAATTAAAGAGGGGGCAGAGGGTGGTGGGGGGGAGAAATGGCCCAAACATTGCATGCACATATGAATAAATGAAAAAAATTAAATAAAGGTCACAGACCAGACAGAAAAAAATAGGCAAGAAAAATTTTTTAAAAAATTTTTAAATTTTAGCCAGTCATAGTGGCACACACCTATAATTCCTGCACTAGAAGACTAAGGCAGAAGAACCACAAGTTCAAGGACAGCCTGGGCTCCATAGTAAGACCTTATCTCAAAAAAAAAAAAAAAAAGCAACAAAATTTAAAAAAAATTTTAGTCCTCAAATACAAACATAGTATGATATAGCAGTTGAATCATACTATATTTGTGTAGTAAATTGTACATTTATAATAGTGCTAAGATAATTTCTTAGGAACAAATTAAATATTAAATTCGCTTTAAAATAAATTATATAATTGGGAACTAATTGATACCTAAGAGTATCTAGATTCACTGAACAATATTCACACTGGAAAGAATGAAAACCGTGTGTGTGTGTGTGTGTGTGTGTGTGTGTGTGTGTATCTTTTCAAGTGTATCACTGAATTGGAAAAAGAAAAGTAAGGAATACTCAGAAGCACAAAAAAGAAAAAGAAAAAAGACACGAAAGCAGGAATATTGAGAAGCCGTACTTGTGTCTGTTATTATTGGAATGTTGAATATCTCCCAAACGTTCACATTAAAGACTTGGTCCCCAGATGGTGCTACTGAAAGGTGGTGGAACCTTTATGAGATGGAGTGTGGTGGGTGGTCCTCAGGTCACTGAAGGTATGCAGTGGGAGGGTACCCCCAGCCTGTCCCACTTTGCTTTCTCACCATGGGGTTAGTAGTGTAACCTACCACACAGTCCTGCCATTAGCCCAAAGCCATGGACACTCGGATGAGGGACTGGAACCTTCAAAATCTTGAGCTAAAATAACGTTAATTGTGTCAGATATTTTGTTGCAGTAATGCAAAGTTAACTTGAACAGTCTGCTTTGCCCTAGTTTGATTTATCAAAGCCTGAGCCCCATGAACAGAACACAGGAATTAAGAGTCTGAAGCCAACCCAAATAATGGAGTCTAACAGGAGACTCCTTCATAGAGCTGGTCTCCAAAGAGCAATGTAACAAACCTGTTCCATAGAAAAAGTAGCTTAAGGTAGAGGAGAAAGAAAGGCCACAGAGAACTCACCAGCCTATAATTTTGCATTCACTACCTACGTGGGACAAAATGTTTCATGCTAAACAAAAATTATTTTAAAGTAGTGTCTGGTTTGTGGTGCTCTATGGGGAGGGGCAGAATTAGCCTTAAATTTAACCTAAAGTATCCTCAGAAAGTTACAAAGAAGTAGAACTTAGAGCCAGAAAAAAAAAAATCACTAAGTGCACACAAGACACCATAGAAGAAGCCAATAGATCAGAATATATAACGTCTAATAGTATTCCAAGACTGACAGCATCATGAATTTTTAGACTCAGGTGGACCAATAAGTTCTGACCAAAATGGGTAAAACCTAATCTATACCCAGCTCATTATAGTAAAATTTCAGTACTCAATATAGCACTTAGCTTTAACATTTCTCTCGAAAGCAGACAGAATGGGGGCACATTAAGGAAAATATTTTAGCCAACTAATTAATAAACTTAAGCTAATGAACAAATGTAACATATAAACTCCCAAACTGACATGTATTTTTTTAAAAGAAACAGAACATTTATAAAATTTAGCTACATACTAGGTTCTAAATAAACCTTCCATGACTGTCAAAGGATTAGTGTCCAACAAAACACATTACCTAATCATGATATATTTATTTTTGTAATAAGATCAAGCCAGATAATGAGAACAAAGTTTTTAAATTCTAAATAATTGCAGGATCAAAAGCAAACATGGAAATTAGAAAACAATTAGATATTACTCATAACTAAGCTTCTTATCAAAACGTGAGCTACAGTTAAAGTAGTTCTAAGAGGAAAATTTATAGCCCTAAGACTCGTACTTTTTTAAGTCTAAATACCAATACATTAAGCATTCAATAGAGGATGCTACAGAGAACAGCAAAGTAAACACAAAGAAAGTAAAAGAGACAATTATAAATTGGGATGAATTATTAATAAAGGGGTGAATAAAACAAATAAAAAATGTATAAGAAAATACTGCAAAAGCCAAAAGTTTGTTCTTTGAATACATTAGCAAACTGACAAATTTCTCTCAAGATCAATAATTGAAAAAAATAGCAAAAGAACAAAAGATATTAGCAATAAAAAAGGCATATCTGAAGATGCTGCACAGATTTACAAAAGACAATTTTAAGAATAGTGATGACCATAAATTGAAAACTTAGATGAAATGGAAAAAATGCATTCTAGAAAACATGAAAACTTATTACCCGAAGAGGGAAGAGATAAGGAGGTTCCTTTGGCTTCCTAGTTTGTACCAAATCCTCAGTGAAAAACAGTTCAAGGGGTCTCAACAAAAAGGAGAGTCTCACGAGGTAGAAGTTTTAGCAGATCTTATTTTAGTGTAACAGGATAAAGTAGGGAGAAATAGAAAAAGTGAGAGAGAAACAGTCCCTGTTTCCCATTCAAGAAATGGGAGTAAAGACTCAAAATGGTGGTCCTTATCTGGGGTCTTTATCCTTTCTGATCTGGGGGTTCCGCTGCGGTCATACAGGGCTAGCAATCCCTAATCATTAGAAATGATAGGTGAGCCTAACAGGTTCCAAAACATGGCCAAGATAGGTGTTGTTTATTATTCTAAATCATGGAGATATGATATAATTATCCCAAACACAGGGACAATAGAGAGTTTCAGGATTTCTTTTACCTGACATTTTTTTTTTACCTACCAATTTTTTTGTTTCTACACATTCCAAGAGTTTGTAGCTTCTTAACATCTCAAAGAAGGCAGAAGCAAACAGCCTCCTTATTTCTCCCTATTCTAGTAACTTAGTATCCATGAGCAGGTGATGGGAGGGGAGATTGTTGCTTTGCTTTGTTTTATTTTGATTTGTTTTTCAGCTTTTACTTCCTGGTTGTTTAATTTTAAGTTTGTCCCGTTTAATTTTTTTTTTTAATTTCTCTGTCAGCTCATCTATCCATTCTCAAACTGACATAAAGAAACTAAATCATTAGCTTAAAATCTTCCAGAAAATAAAGTATCAAGATCAACTTTTTTCCTTGAGTTTGAAAGATTAAATAAAAAGGCCATTTAAATATAATGTAATCTTTTTTCAGATAATACTGAAACAACCCATTTTTTTGTAAAAAAAAAAAAAAACTGCCAAACTTGTGAATATAAACTGAATATATACAGGAATATGTGAATTCAAGACACTAATTTTAACTAATATTACAAATTCCTGAAATGCAAGGTTAGATTATCTTGTCATTTTATCATCAGATTAAGAAAGAGAACTTACATTTTGATCTGAAAAGTGTGTTGATAAAATCTGACACAAATGCATAGCAAAAAGTCTTAGTAAACTTGGAAAGGAAATGAATTAAGTTAATCTGATAAAGATTAGACCAAATATCAAAAGTCATGGTGAAACATTAAAGCCATTCCCTTCCAAGCCAGAAGAAAGTCAAGGCTACCAGCTATCACCACTTCCTTTCAACATGGAACTGTGTGTCCTGGCCAGCACAATGATGCAGGGGTAGACCTGGGAGTTACCTCCCCCTCCTGAGGCTGACAGGACCGCATCTGAGACCAAATCAACTATCACCACTAGAATCCCCAAGTCTTCCAGATGTCCCTTCTTTAGTGTAATTCACACAGAGTAGAAACCCATCTGAAACACAGGGTAATGCACACTATGCTAAGAAGGATTAAAAACCCACCTGGAAATAAAGTCTGATCAGTCTTTCAGCTTAATTCAAGCTTGTCTCACTTGATTGTGGTAATCTTCAAATTTACAGCACCACTATGCAACAGTGAATTTTACAGCAAATTTACGAGCTATTTTAAAAACTAGAAAAGTATTTTTAAGGTCAAGGAAATGTCTTTTTTGGCTGACTTTATCAAATGTTAAGTCATTACCCACTTTCCAAAATTCACCAAGGCCTTCAAATTATGTATGTGACTATAATTAAAACAATTTAGTTCATAAATTTTATGTACTTTTTGTGACATAAAAAGGCAGTATGAAGTTCAATCTCTATGGTATGTTATCTTTGCATAAATAAGGTTGAAGTTTATATATCTAATATATATGAACACTGGATTTCTGATAGAATTTACAAACTACTCATTTTACTTGTTCCCTGTAGGCAGGGGAACTTGTCTGTGTTGTGGAAGAGACCACGCTCAGCTGTGAACAGTTAATCATATATAACAAACTATGCTGGGAGATAGAAGACAGTAAGACAACACTAGTGATTAGGCAAGAGGGGTGAAGATGTTCATAGAAGATACCTGAATCTGAAACAAAAGCAATGTAAGTATGTTATTTGTGGAAATTGAGGTAAATATCAAAAGAATCAACTCATAGTTGAATAGCAATTGTGCTGGAAATGGGAACATAGAACCAGGTGATTAATTTAGCATGGGATTGCATCAGTGACAATACAACCAAATAACAGGTTAATTATCAAGAAAAGACTGATGCATTGTCAATAAGAAAAGCTTAATGACATATTTTGAAACATTTAAACTATATGTAGCATTTCAATCTACATAATTTAGAAAGCTATCTAGATTGAAAAGGGACTATGCTCGCTATGGTAGCTTTAAAACTGGGGTATGCTAGAGAGGGTTGAATATTTGAATTGTATTTTATGAGATTTTCTATTGAACATATATCATGATAAGAAATATCTCAATTATCTGTGTAATCTCTTCTCCCTCAAGTATGTGATCTAACTTGAAAAGAAGATTACAAATTCTTTAGATAAGACCATTTTAAGGATGTTCCCTTCAAATTGTCTTCCCCTCCAAATGCCCACACATACGTTTTTGGCAAAGATCTGAAAAAATGGTCTTCTTAGACATACACATTCATTGTTTCTCAGAAGTTTGGCTAAGATCAAGTGAAAGAAACATAATCAGAAAAATCAATTTAAAAAAACTGGTGGCTCAAATAGTACACTGCATCTGTGATGATCTCAGCAACTCCAAATCTATTCAGTGTCTTAGAGTGAAACCTATCCAAAGGGTCTATGCTGGTTGCTTGGAAGCTTAATAGGACATCATATTTGATATTCATCTGCAATACTGAAAAAATAGCAACTAAAATCAAGAATTGATTTCTCAGAATCTTCTCTCCCCCGCCCCCATTACATTAAATGCCAACATCATAATGCATCTGAAAGAATAGATTGGGGAAGAAGGTTTCTTTCTTTTGTTTATTTATATTTTTACCTCATTTCCATCTTCATCAATTATTGAGATGTAGTTGGGATGAGTCTTGTTTGGGTAGGACAGCAGGACATCATAATGGGCCAACTCAACAGAATCCAGGCCAAATTCTTTCCACTGAGACTTAATTTGCTTTGCAAGCTCAAAGTTTTGTTCCGTTCCTGCTAAATGTGGTATCCGTGTAAAATTACTGGTGAATAAAGATTGAAAGTGGTTAGAAATTAATGGTTAGTCAGTCTTTATCCTAAATTAAAACAAAACAAATCCTCCCCTTTTATTATGCCTACTGTTTGTGATTATAGTACGATAAGTGCCAGAGGCAGAGGAGGGTTTTCCACAACGTAGTTTAAGCTTCAAGGTTTCTCACTTAAAGAGTCCTTTCCAAAAACCTAGGAGGTGCCCTAGCAAATGTTTTCCATAGTTTTAATTCTGTTGTAATTTGTGTGGGGGGAGGGGGGCACATGTGCAGATCTATGCATATACACGTATACATGTAATGGTCTTTTTACATCAATTTGAAATTTGTATTCACTAGGGAATCCTTCAATCACTCGGGGATTTCAAATATTTTTCAACACATTCACTAAGCTAATTTGTTAAAAAAAAAAAAAAAGAGAGAAAGAGAGAGAAAAAGAAAGGCTTCATACTTAAAAAAAAAACTAAGTATTCCTATCAATTATATATGTTACTTCTATGTAAGTATTTTATTTTTAGTTACTTTGAAATACTTTTTAACTTTTGCTGGGGATCAAATCCAGGGCCTTGTGCATGCTAGGCAAGTACTGTAGCACTAAGCTACATCCCCAACCTAATATTTTTAAAATACGTTTATCTCTTTTGCTCTATACTATTTCAGGAAGAGGGGAACTAGGTTTTAAATTAAAGCAAACATATGCTCTCCAATTTCATCCTGTCTCAGTAATATCATTATCCCTATTTTAAAGATATGGAAATGAGGCTCCAGAAGTGTCCATCCAAAGTTACTTTATTGTTAATCAGCAAAGATGGAATTCAGACTCAATTCTGTCCAGTTCCAAAGTTCATTTTTCTTCCTTACTTAAATATACTTTCTTTCTCTAAAGTGTGAGTCAGCAAAATCTGGCCTCCTTCCTCTTTTTAGACAATCCTCAGGCTAAGAATGGCTTTTACGTTTAAACAGGCAAAGAAAGCAGAAGAAGCAGAACAGTTTGTGAAACATCAACATATGGAATTCAAATTTCAGTGATCATAAATAATATTTTAACAAAATGACACACTTGTCTGTTGATGTATTTTTTATAACTTCTTTTGTGCTCCATCAGCAAGGCAGACTACTTGGACAGAGATCAGTAGGCCAGTGAAGGCTGGTCCTTTTTAGAAAAAGTTGCTGACTCCTGCTCTGAAACCTCTGGAATAGGTGCTGGGGGTGTAGCTCAGGGGAAGAGCACTTGCTTAGTCTGCTCATGGCCCTGGATTTGTCCCCAGCACTTCAATGAATGAATGAGTGAATGAGAAAATAAATAAAACAAATTTCTGTAATAGCATAAAGTTCAACTGAAAGTATAATCCTCTCTACATGAAATGTGATACAAGATCCTCAACAAATAAAACCTCCCTTTAAAAAAACCCAATTCCTTCGTATGAAATATTAGACCAAAACTTCTAAGTAGAATGATAAATGTTTCCTGTAGACTGTGCCTATAAATGTTGAAAGGCATGCTTACTATAGGAACTTCTTGATGTTCTCAGCTTTCAATTCATCCAAAAATGCCTTCTTCATGCCATGCTGGGGAATAGTGTTAGTAGATTCATTGGAAGATTTTATAAACCACCCTGTAAAATACAACCAAATATAGGAATAAGATATGAACTCATAGACAAGTCTTTTATTTTTCTTTATTATTATAGCCATCATTGTAAACACAAATTATCCATTATCTCTAGCATTAGCTGAGCTTTTCTGAAGTTTAATTTCCCTTGCCTACTTCCACTGGGAAAAAAAGATCCTGCAAACAGATTTTCAAATTACAAAATTACTGCAACATATTTTAAAACCAATTTCAATAATATGTGTTACTGTTATGCTAAGAAATGTTTAAGAAATCAGTGCTCAAATTAAACATCATGTTAATGTTTTAACTGATGGAGGTAAACAAGATCTTTTGAACATGATGGCTACTTTCTTCATAGTTTCTCTCTCTAGTGACTGCTTGTCTGACAATCTAGAATAAACATTTCACAAATGTTCATAATGAATTAATTGTGGATATATTTCAAGTACATAAATTATTTCAAAGTGTTAAACAAAACTCAGATTTTTAATTTGCTCTGGTTCTGAAACTATTTAAATTATGCTGATATTTTGTTTCCAGTTAAATAAGCTTGGGAAATTGAAGCTCAAAAAGCTATAAAGAAACTACAATTTACCCAACACCTCTCCCAGAAATCCAGTGCTCAAAAGAGAAAGGCAGTGGATAGATAGCCAGAGCATACACAGCCTGTAGCTTCTTCAGCTGGTTTTACTTCGAGGGAGATAGGGCATCTTTATAAGGACTTATTTACAAAAATGATATGATGTGGAAATAAAATTGTTACAAACTCAGCATCCAGTCAGCTTTCATGAAGCTTTCAGATATCGATCACTTGCAATAGAAGTCCACATGCATTTAAACATGCATATCAAAATATATGATTGGATACACCTGTCCATAAAACCAAGGGACTTGGATTAGACTGGAATCAGAGAAGGACACACTGACAATGAGATATTTGAACTGAGATTTGAAAAATTAATATGAGGAAGAGGACAGAGACCTGTGGGGGGAGGAGAGGGAGAATACTAGGGAAAAAGAAGCAAATATTACAGTGAATAGAGGCAGCGTGAGGTCAGCACCACGAAGAACAAGTTGTCTTTAGGACTCACAGGGCATTTGAAAACCATCCCAACCTTGCCAAGTTTTAAATCCCATTTTTTTTTCTAATTGAGATAATGGAACCTCGATTTATAATGCATTCTTATTGATGGCTCTCCTCATTTAAACTCCACAACAACCCTAGGTGGTTCCTAATATCCATGTGTTAGTTATGATAAGAGTATATGGCTTAAAAGTCTTTTAAGACTCCAGGGCCACCCAGCAAACTAGTAAAGACGGTGAATTTGAATAAACCCAACTGGTCCACGCCCTGACCTTCCAAATCCCAGAGAGGATCCAGAATTCAGAGCAAGGGTGGACTACAGGAGGAAAGGTGGACTTCCAGAAGAAATGAAGTGCCAAAAGTCCTCCCCCCTAACCCGGACCTGAGCTAGGAGCTTGAAGTGCTATTTCAGTTTTTATCATCAGTAAGTTGCACACATTAACCTCATTATGACGATAGGGGAACTGAAGCCCGGAGAGAGTCAGTAACCTGTTCAAGGTCACTAAAAAGTGACAGAATCAAAACTAGAATTTTAGAATCTAAGCTTGCCTGAGCTGCTCAAGTTTTTTTGAAAAGTTGGGTTAGGTCTACAAATCAGTACACGCGAGAACGCAGAACTGCTGATAAAGATCCGTCCAGAGTGCAGGCAGTAATTCTCCCTTTTGCAAATGTGCCTCTGTCACTCCAAAGGAAAGAAGAATGAGCGAGAAAGGTTTCCTTTGAAGCACTGCTGAATTCCACCATTCAGCCCCAGGAACACACTAGATAAAACCTCCAAACAGGTCAGCGCCGCCTGGGGCAAAGCTCCTGGTTCACCTGGTTCAATAGCCCTGGGGGATGTGACGCCCGTTCCAAAGCCAGCGGGCCTTGCAGGGCGCCAGGGATCGAACCTTCCACGTTCAGTTTCGGTCTCTCCTCTTTACACCTTAATCTGTGCATCTGTGTCCTACAAAGCGGCTCATTTGCTCAACCCTGCAATGCCAACCTGCACCTAACTTGTCCAACTCTTCTCCCCACCCAAATCGCCCCACTCCCCCCATCTCGCCCCCACCCAAATCACCCTATGCTTCCTCACCTCGCCCCCACCCACATCGCGCAACTCCCGCCACCTCGCCCCTACCCAAATCGCCGTCCCGGGGGAGACCAGCGATCGCACCCCACTGGGCTGCGGGCTCGGGGGTCCCGCTGGCAAAGCGCCCCTACCAGAGAGGAAGCCGAGGATGAAGAGGCCGGCGGCCAGCACCAGCACCCCTGCGCAGAGCCAGCGCGGGCGGCGCCCCGAGACCCCCGCGGAGTCGGGGTCCTGCAACGGATTCCACATCTCCGCGCCGTCCGCTCCCGCGTCCCGGCCCCGCGCGTCTGCGTCTGCCCCGAGCCCGCGGCCGAGCAGCCTCCCTCCCACCGCCCTTATCAGCCCCGCCGCGGGCCGCCCCGCACCACGGCCGCCGCCGCCGCCGCCCGCAAGGCTCTCTCCTCCTCCTCGGAGCCAATCCAAGCCGCGGAGGCAGCCTCGGCTTCCCGGAGACGGAGGCCAGGCCCCAGCCAGGCGCGCTCAAAAGGAAAAGTTTCTCTGCGACATGTCCAGCTCTTGATTGTCAGAGTGAGCCGGGCGGGGAGAGCGCTGCCATTCCTCCAACGCAACAGGTCTTCTGTCTGCCCAGGAAGACAGATCGACCTGGTTCCTAACTAGTTGGTAGAATAGACTTTATCTGTATCACCAGCTTTTTTTTTTTTCAGGTCTGAAATCCTAGAAAATACTTTACAACTCTATGCTGTACAAACTCCTCCAGCAAAGATGGAGGGTGGACCTATGCAAAACACCATTATCCTCTTTCTTCTAACGAATAGCGCTGTTATTTGTAAACATAAAAGGTGTTTTTTTATTGTCCGTTTACATAACGAAGCCATGTTTAGTTTTTGCACTGTTTTTATTAGTATATGTTAATTGTACAAAGTGAGGGATTTCATTGTGATAGTTCTGTACATATGTATCAGTACTTTGATCATATTTACCCTTCTATCACTCTTTTCCCCCATCCCCAGACCCTACCTTTTAAAAACTGTCTTACAATTTTTTAAATAAGTTTCATTAGGACCCTTCTATATGCACATGTAATGTATTTCCGTAATATTCTTCCCCTCTCTTTTCTCCTCTCCTCCTGCAGCTGGTTCCCCCAAACAGTCCCGCTTTTATATTCATGTTCTTTTTGTTTGTTTTTAGATCCTGATTCTGCAAATGAGAAAAAACATACATTATTTGTCTTTCTAAGTCTTATTTCACTTAACATGATCTTCAGTTCCATTGTCCTGCAAGTGGCATAATTTCGTTCTTTATGGCTGAGTAAAACTCCGTTGTGCAGAGGTACTACATTTTCTTTATCCATCCATGGGTTGTTGGGCACAGTAGGCTGATTCCATGGCTTGGCTGTTGTGAATAGTGCTGCAGTAATCATGGGTGTGCAGGTGTCTCTCTTGTATGCTGACTTAGTAGATGCATGCCCAGGACTGAAATAGCAGAATCAGATGGGTAGTTCTATTTTTAGTTTTTGAGGAACCTCCATACTGACTTCCATTACATTCCCACTAACAGTGTATAAGGGTTCCTTTTCTCCATGCATTCTTGCCAGCATTGATTGTTTGGTGAACCTACTTTTATAAAGAAGAATACTGAAAGTCCTTGAATGCAGAGACTTCATTTCATATCCCAGCTGTGTTTGTCTGCTGTCTTTTATAATAGATAAGAAATCAATTTTTGTTGAATTAACTGGAATAATCACTCACACAATTCTGTCCCTGTCATAAATTCTTGTGTGTGCGTGTGTGTGTGTGTGTGTGTGTGTGTGTGTGCAATGGTGTGTAGAGTTTGAACTCAGGGCCTTACTCTTGCTAGGCAGGTGCTCTAACACGTGAGCCACTCTGCCAACCCTGTAAATTCTTACCTAGTTCATGGAGGAAGCCAAGAAGAGACTGAAAGTGCTCTATGGAAGTGTTCATTTAACATAATCTTGAAGTACAGGTAAGATTCGAACCAATGAAGATGAGATGACATTAGGGGCTGGGTATCAGCAGGGCAAAGGCCCAAGGCTCAGTGTATGCCACAGGAATAGCAAATAGTTTGGGTTTTTCCAAACAGTGCAGGATAAGAGTAGGAAAAGATGGGCTAGTTAATAGAATATCTGAGATACTTTGATAAAGAATTTCTAAAGAAAATAAAGACATATGGAAAAATTAATTTGTAAATGGTGAACCAAGACAACTGTGTGACAGAGAAAAAGGGGAAGGTTCTTAATCCCTTTTTAACAAAATCCTGTATGTATTGCATCTTTCCTAATATTCCTAGTGTCAAATATAACCAGGAATGGAAGAACAGTATTTGGATATTTATTGAGCACTTTTATGAGTAACCACTCTATATTATCTCATTTAACCATCATGGGAACCCCACTCCCTCTCTTCCCATTTTGCCTATGAAAAAAACTGAATGTACTGTGATGAAGTAAATCACCCTATATCACAAAGCTAAGTATGTCTAGTGCAAAGACCTAGTGTAATTTGTCTGTCTTACTCCACACTACTTATATTGCCTTTACTGACACAAGGTATGTTTTATTGACTTTGTGATATCAAAAGGAGACTTGTTCTTAGGATCAAAAGACTTTGACTTAAACTTTGAATCTAAGCTGTGCTCTTGGGTGCCAAGAATTCAGTTTACCTGCATATATCTCATTTGTAAAATGTGTTATCACCCTGTACACTTGATTAATGTGATGTTTTGAAGGCAAGACTATAAATAAGGCAAATTTCAGTTAAATGCAAGAAAAGATTTAATATGTAATAGATTGGCCCTCCATATCTAAGGGAGGGCTCGTTGAATCTACGTCCTTTGATTCACCCAACTGCAAATCAAAAATACTAGAAAAAATTGTGTCTGTATTGCACATATACATACTTTTTTCTTAGCATTATTCCCTAAACAATACAATATAACCATTACTTATGTATTATTTACATTGTATTAGGTATTATAATCTAGAGATGACTTGCAAGTGCTACATCATTTTATACAAGGACTTGAGCATACTTAGGTTCTTATACCTTCAGGGGGTCGTGGGACCAGTTCCCCTTGGATACAGAATTAACAAGACTCTGATGAAAAGTGTTTTTGAAGACAATGTCAGATATACTGGAATTTATAGTTTAGTAGGGAAAATATACCTTTCATAAGTAATTTAATTTTCTATTTTTCCATGGTGGCATTCCTATGACCTTGTGCCTTCAAGGCAAGTGTTCTCCCACTGAACTATACCCCCAGCCTCTAGTAAATAAATAATAACTAAATTATAAACACTTTATACATGGCACGTACTATGTTATGTGCTGTAAATGTGTTGTGGTTTTTTTTATTGTTTTATTTAATTCTCAGGATTGAACCACCAAAAATATGAAGCCTTTAGTGGGTGATTATGTAAGCCACACCAGATTGCATATTTTTTATTACCTACGTTTCACAGTTAAGAAAAGTAAGCTTTAGAGAAATTGATCTTTCTTAAGAAAACAGCTAGCAGATGCTTGTTTTGGGAAGACCCAAGAGGAGCATGAGGCCATAGTATACTTTCTTCTTTAACTCTCGGGGAAGATTGAAGATAGCTCTTCTTATCAAGACAATTGGAAGCAGAAAAATGCTAAACACAGCTGGATGCTGTCTTGTTTCTTTGAACCAGCCTTTACTGTAACACTTCCTACACTACATTGTAGCTACTTCACAGGATATCTCCTGGATAGACTCATCTTTTTGAGGTCAGGGACTTTATGCACTTTTGTACCCATAAGTCCTGGCACACAGTAATGATTTGATAAGTGTATTTTCAATGATTTATGAACAAGAACAACATTGATACTAAGAAAGAAAGGTATTTTCTTGGTGACACTATGTACTAAATCACCTTACAACACATGAAGATTCTGGTATACCTGTTTTTACTGCTAGGAATTTTAAGAATGTGCTAGGAAATTTAAGAATGTTAGTCTCACACATTATTCTCCCGACATCTGACCCTTCAGTTCCTTCATATACTTCTCATGATTCATAAACCCCAAGTAAAAAATGGTGTTATAATGTTTGAAAATATCCAAAATGCAAATGTACTCCTCTATATGGACTTTTTATTCCCACCTTCAGTGTATGGCTTTTTTCATCTTTGAGAACCTACATTATGAAGCTTTCTTGACATCCATAGAAATTTGTACTAATAACTGACCTCTCTTTTTCCTGAATTTCTATTTGAGTGTTTTGTTGCATGTTTTACTCTTTTATGTCCTTCCAGATTTTAGGAATCTTGGTGCCAGGGACTATGTTGATTCTGTCTATTTTCTAGTTTCCACAGTGCTAGCATACAGAAAAGTCTTTTTGAATTAATGAATTATCTTATGTCAAGTAAAGAGGCAGTTATGAGGTATAAGAAATAGTTATTGAGAACCTGTGCTGACAGGAGGATGGCCTAAATAGAAAAATAAATAGCAATGCCAGAAAGCAGAGATCATGTGTCCAAAACAGTAGTGCTAGCCTGCATTCAGAAGAGCATTAAACTCTTTGTTCATGCCTACTGATCCATATTAACCACAATTCAACTTGTTCAAAGAGCACCCTGAGGCATTTCACAGTGAAATATCCATACACAAAAATATTTGGCATAATTTTATGGGTAGGTATATAAGTTAAGAATGTGATCAGTGTACCTTCTTACTCAGTGAAGGAAACAGATTCAGATAGAAATAGTAAATAAAAGAGAGATATCCGTGTTCACTGTAGGCCATCAAATCTGACAAAACCTCTAAGCTGAAAGAACCAACAGAGTAAGGATTGCTCCTGGCAGAGCACTTAGCACAAAATAGTAATGCAATAAATATTCGTAAATGAATGGACTTAATAGCAATTATTGATGCCAGATCATGAACAGGTATTACTTAGTTTAAAAATCCTTTTAAAACAATAGAACAAAATCATATAGAATAAAAGTGTATCACTCTAATTCAATAACTAGATAAAGCATTTTTGTCCTTTCGTTAATATGTACTCATCTACTTATTTTGCTCAGTCTGAAAAGTATTTCTTAATTATCACCATAGACCACATGCTGGAATGGTTTGCACAAACACCAAAATAGTATCTTTTTAGGCTCAAGCCTGTCTCAGTCTGTCTGTTGGAACTGTAATAGTTGGCACAAAAACCGATGGTCAATAGGAACGAATTAATATGATCCCCACATATTCTTGGCTAGCATGGACCACATAAAAATGAAAGAAACTAATTGTGTTGGTTAACCAGCATTGGAAGGATGGTGAATGTAATTTGGGGTGTTGAAATG